ATCAGCGTACCAAAGCTTCTCATGAAGCACGTACTCAAGATAAGGTCTTCGCTGTCATGTGCCGATGGGTACATTCCGGCTGTCGCAAAGGGGAAGGAAAGCACGTCGCTTGTTGATAGGTTTCTAGAAATTGATGGCAGCTCTCGAGGACACAGTAGAAGCCAGAAGGTAGGCTCTCCCACATTCTCCAGAACGAGTTTGCATTGCTCGCGATATGATGTCTTGCTGGATGACATAAGTCGACTCCGCGGAGGATGAGCTTCACAAACACAGCTTGTTTCCGCATGTGAATAAAGAAGGTGGTCCGTGTGTCTCAAGCTCGAGATGTGGAGGACGGTGAGGAAGCTGCGGCAGTGCCGCCCGAGGCAGGAGGAGACCCGACATGAGGAACAGGCGGCGCGGAGTGGTTGCAACTTCCATGCGGTCCTGGGATCTGGGCAGAGTGAGGCGTATGCGCCTCTCCAGCATCCTCTTCTAACCGGGGAGAGGAAGCCGCCCGCCAGTCACATCACGAGTAAAAGTCGGCAACGCTGCAGGTACGCTCAGTACGTACCTGCTGCACTGGGTTACCTAGACCCCCTAATCCTGACGGGGTTAGCACGGCCAACTGTGGAAAGTCGGCAGCTCCACAGAGAGTTCCACAGTGTCACGGTCCTATCACAACCTGGAGGCGGCTGCTGCTTTTCCAGAGTGCCAGCCCCGTTGCTGGTGCTGGTGCTGGTGCTGGACCTGGTGCTCGTTTTTTTCATCCTGTGGTGTTGTGCCTGTGCCTGCTCTTGCTCGTTGCTTGGTGACTCGGGAAGCTACCCAAGTTAGGTGCTTGTACCTTGTCACTACTAGCCCCACCACGTTAGCCTCACCAAGGTGCCAAGGTCCTGCGCTACTGCTGTGGCTACCTCTCTGCTGCTGCTGCTGCTGCTGTTGCTGCGGCTTGGGCCTGTGCTCCGAGAGACAACTGGAGCAGCCTCCCGACAGCACTTTCTTCCCAGAACCTCACTTGACCGATCACATCGTCCATCAACCGACCGACTGTCGGGCCTCTTCCGCTGGGCAGCAACGTACCTCTAATTCGCCGGCTATCGCTCACTATCGAATTTAATCTGTTCGTCACGTTTAATCGACAATACGCTTCTACCATCGACCCGTCGGAAACATCGCAGGCTCCGCATCCCTCTGGTTGGGCTGCTAAAACATTCGTGTTTGCGAAAGAGGATCCATCCAAACAAAACAGCCCCAGCCGCCCCCCGAGACCGCTACTTCGAAGTCGAGTCTTCATATCATCGACATCGGCCTTTGTTGCCCACGTCGGCCATGGGAGTGTGTCAATCGTGTTGCGGAGGTATGATGCGGTTCACTGCCACATGCTGCTGACCAGCCAAGCTAATGATGACTGCACAGGGAGATCCCGCGATGGACTCTACGAGCCAGTCCTCGCCGACAGCGAACGGGAGGCTGTCGCCGACCTCCTCCAGTACCTGGAGAACGTACGCGTTTTTCTTTACCCACCACATAGCTGAACCTTCATACTGACTGTGTTTCAGCGCGGTGAAACCGACTTCTTCTCGGGCGAACCTCTTCGAGCTCTAAGCACTCTCGTCTTCTCTGAAAACATCGATCTTCAACGCAGTGCTAGTCTTACTTTTGCCGAAATCACAGAGCGAGGTATGTCGAACATTTTAACCGCCCGAGAGGAGCTTCAAGCTGGTCCAACGAACCGTGCGGTGTAGCACCTGCGGGCGTCTTCGTCTACGTCACCTGCTAATGCCAGTGCCTGTTCCGCAGATGTTCGCGAAGTCGACCGCGATACCCTCGAGCCCATCCTCTTCCTGTTGCAGAGTCCTGATATCGAAGTTCAGCGCGCCGCCAGCGCAGCCCTGGGAAATCTGGCCGTAAACAGTGAGTCTAGCTTCACGCGCCAGGCTGGATGAGCATTACTGATCTGAATCGGCAGCCGAGAATAAGGTTTTGATTGTCCAGCTCGGCGGACTTACGCCTCTTATCAGGCAGATGTTGTCGCCAAATGTCGAGGTGCAATGCAATGCCGTCGGCTGCATTACCAACTTGGCCACACATGAGGAGAACAAGGCCAAGATTGCGCGGTCCGGCGCGTTGGGTCCTCTGACGAGGCTGGCAAAATCCAGGGACATGCGGGTTCAGAGGAACGCAACTGGAGCTTTGTTGAACATGACACATTCGGGTACGTTATCGCCAATACTATCGACTCACTCTCGCTAACTTCAGAAAGATGAGAACCGCCAGCAGCTCGTTAACGCCGGAGCCATCCCCGTCCTGGTTCAACTCCTGTCCTCGTCAGACGTTGATGTGCAGTACTATTGCACAACCGCTCTCAGCAACATTGCAGTCGATGCTAACAACCGACGCAAACTTGCACAAACCGAATCGAAGCTTGTCTCTTCGCTCGTCACTCTCATGGACTCCTCGTCACCCAAAGTGCAATGCCAGGCAGCACTCGCACTTCGTAACCTGGCTTCGGACGAAAAGTACCAGCTGGATATTGTGCGGTCAAATGGTCTGGCTCCGTTGTTGCGGCTCTTGTCGTCGTCTTATCTGCCTCTGATCCTTTCCGCCGTCGCCTGCATACGCAACATTTCCATTCACCCATTAAACGAGTCGCCCATTATCGAAGCTGGCTTCTTGAAACCGTTGGTGGACCTGCTGGGATCGACCGAGAATGAGGAGATTCAGTGCCACGCCATATCGACGCTGAGGAACCTGGCGGCCAGCTCTGATCGCAACAAGGCACTGGTCCTCGATGCTGGTGCGGTTCAGAAGTGCAAGCAGTTGGTGCTGGACGTCCCGGTTACGGTCCAATCCGAGATGACGGCTGCGATTGCTGTCTTGGCTCTTAGTGATGAGCTGAAGTCGCACCTCTTGAACTTGGGTGTCTTTGAGGTCCTCATTCCCCTCACCCATTCTCCCAGCATTGAGGTGCAGGGCAACAGCGCTGCAGCCCTCGGCAACCTCTCTTCAAAAGGTATGGTTCCTACCACCTCAATCAAGGTTTGAATGCTAATTCATCCGCAGTTGGCGATTATGCTGTGTTCGTTCAAGACTGGAAAGAGCCTAACGGCGGTATCCACGGATACTTGACGAGATTCCTCCAGAGCGGCGACGCGACGTTTCAGCACATAGCAATCTGGACTCTGCTCCAACTGCTCGAGTCGGAGGACAAGAACCTCATCCAGCTGATCGGCCAGGCTCAGGACATTGTCGACCAAATCAAGGAGATCGCCAACCGCCAAATTGAGCCTGACAACGAGTTCGAAGACGACGACGAGGGCGAGGTCGTGAACCTGGCACAGCGTTGCCTGGAGCTGCTTGGCCAGAGTGGCTCAAAGTCTCATATCGAGGGCTAAAACCCTTTTTCTCTTCAGTATGACGGGTCTCGCTTTCACTATTTCGTTCCTCCGCTTCCCTTCTGGGGTACTACGACGGGATCAAATGGCTCGGGGGCTTGGGTTGTAGGTGTTATGGCGTTGATGATTATGCAGAATGAGTTCCGGTCGGTACCTTGCGTGTATTTGTTTTGGCGTGGAAGCATTTTGAAGGAGCGTTTATTTTGGCGAGCCTATTCCTGACGGACGACCCTTTCCGCCGTCCTTAGTTTCAAGGTACGGCATGTCTCTTTAAGAAGGACGACCTAACCCTTTTACTTTGTATTAAGCATTATGGCCCGTCAGTCGGGTTATCCAATTTCCCACGTTACTCGGCCTGTCGCCGGGCTTGATGAACTTTTCCTTAACGCCACTGGCCTTCCTACCTCGTTGTAATTAGGATCAGACCTTAGAAGACCAAAAAACAACTCACTATTCGTGATTAATTCTCATCCATTAGTCGAGCAAGCCCTCGTTGTGCCCCTCGTGAGGATGATCCGGTTGGATTATCGGGTTCAATTCTTGTCATCATGGTCGTCTTCTGGATCCACAAGGCCGTTGCGGAATACCTGACGGGTACTCCAGGGCAAATGTCTGGCAATTACCTTGCCCTTTATTAAAGCCAGTGGTACTGGTCCAAACATCCGTGAGTCTCTCGAGAGCTCCAAGTTGTCGCCTACAATCCAACAGTGACCTTGGGGTACCTGACAGATCGTCAGTGTGAGACTTTCGCCAACTTCATGACACAAGCAGCCATACCTGCATCATTTTCTGGGGATAGGCATCGGGGCTTCCCACGAGGACGTAGTCACCTGGCATGCCGATTACGCGTTTGATGCCTTCCGCACGTTGGAATATGGGAATTCGATAATGCACCAAGTCTCCTACAACAATATTGCGGCCGTAGCGGTAGCGTTTGTCAACAATGATGTGATCACCGGCGATGTCGAACGTCGGCAGCATTGACGGGCCGGCCGCAGGTCCCCATTCGAAGCAGTAACTTGTGAAGACATGGGCAGCGGCCATGGTCTTTCCGGCAGCGAGAACCAGGCGAATCGGATGGCCAATTATAGCTCTCGCCCATGGAGGCAGCATCGCGTCCGAACGGGGAAGCCGTGTGTTTGTTGATGCTCGTCTCAGGCCTGAGAACAGCTGAGGAGTTGAATGTCACACCGTACGGTGATGAGGAGACCACGGCGAACCCGCCGGCGCGAGAAGTAGGAGCTCGGACCCCACTGAAAGCTCAGCACCGGGACTTGATTGGCGGGGAAGCTACCTACCCCATGTGTCTTCTACAATTTCATCTCTTCGCCTCCCATCATCTGCGCCAGCTCCCACCTACCAAACGTGCTGAAATCAACAAGCAACAACCCGCCTTGTGAGTCAATCGACGATCCAAAGCTCCAAAACGTTTTCAGGAGACGGGCTGCCAGCATGAGGGTCGCACGATGCTTGTTCAACAGCAGGACAGCCCTATATAGGGTGTTCATCTCGCCCTACGAAAAAGTTGAGGCGCTATCACGAAGCAGCGCTCTTTCTGCTCCCACAACCAGAGTCCTTCCACCCGTCGCCGCGTCGATACCGAACCTTTCACGCCACGCATCTATGATCCATCGATATAAGAAGCGCGGAACGGGCCGCCCAGACGAAAACAAGAAGCGCCTGATAGAAAACGACAGGATCCGCGACAGGAATATCATGGTTGTAGACGAGGACAACAAGCTGGCTGGTCCATACGCCACTTCAAAAGTCCTGCTATCCCTGGACCTCGAGAAGGAAACGTTGCGACTGGTTTCCCCGGCCCCCTCGGACCCGGGCCCAGACCAACCAGCCTACGCCGTTTGCAAGATCATAAACATTCAGGAGGAGAGAGCCCGGGTGCGCAAATTGGAGCAGGCGAAGAAACTTCAGGCCAAGACAAACAAGACCAAAGAGCTGGAACTCAACTGGGCGATTGCGTCGAATGACCTCAACCACAAGATGAGGCAGTTGAGGACGTTCCTAACCAAGGGTTACAAGGTTGAGATCTTGATGGCCAAAAAGAAGGGAAGCAGGATTGCTACAGCAGATGAAGCGCAAGCTCTTGTTCAAGCAGTCAGAGACGTTGTGGAAGAGACCCGCGGCGCCAAGGAATGGAAGGCCTCGGAGGGCCAGCCACTTAAGGTGATGAGACTTTACTTGAGTGGAAAGGCTGGCCAGGCTCAGGCTGAGGATGGCTCTGAGGCGTCTGCCGAGGGGCAGCCCGAGACCTCTGCAGAGGACCAGTCCGAGATTTCGGCAGAAGCTTCATCAGAGACTTCGCCTGAGGTCTCACCAGACGAGAAGCAAGCAGCCCCTGCCTCCTGAGCGTTTGATGTCTCTACCACATGCATGTAACATCAGGCGGAGGCAAGAGACTTGTACAGGAATTACAAAAGGTGGACACAAACTGTAAGATGGATGATGTTGATCTATAGACCACTAAAAATTATAGAGACTCTGCGTTCCATTTAACCCGACTGCAGTGATTGTGTGGTGGGAGTTTGCCTAGGGCAGATGGGTGACTGAGTACGGATACCTGATGGCCTGAAAGCTCTCATCATTATCAGATGGAATCGTCTGATAACCAAATCTGATTCAATCAGTCAGGACGACCAAATGGCTGCAAAAGCCTTGGGCCGCAGGCGTACTGTTGGATAGTGATTGGCGCCACAGCTTGGACGTCATTCCCCGCACGATGCAGTTAAGCTTTAGCGAGCTTTTAGCGCGGGGCACCTAAGGAGTCGCATCCCGCCGCGCAAACCCCTGTGACTCAACCCTCCAAAACTTCTCAGCCTCTCCGATCAGATAACTTCTGGTGACTTGTCCCACCTCGAACGCGATCAAACCTACCTGCAGAAAGTCGGAACTCACCTCCTAATCAAATAGAAACCGAAAAATCCACAACCGAGGACGAACCAGAGGTATTCAATCGACCCTGAGACCAGACAATGGCGACGGAGACACCAAACACCCCCGCGCCGCCGCCGGCCGCCGAGGAGAAGAAGAGTCAACAACCCCAAAAGAAGGGCGATGCCAAAAAGGGCGACGCCAAGAAAGATGCTCCTGCCGAGGGAGGAGAGAAGAAGCTATCCGGCGCCGAACTGAAGGCCAAGGCGAAGGCGGAGAAGGCGGCGAGAAGAGCAAAGGCGAAGGAGTCGCAACCGGCACCACCAGCCGGCCAAGGAGCTCAGCAGGGCGGCGATGCGAAGGGAGGGAAATCGAAACAGAGACAAGACGGACCACAAGGCGTCGGTGGTCCTGGTGGAAAGGGCGGTCCAGCGGGAAAGGTTGTCATCGCCCCTCCCAAGGAGAACAAACCCAAAGTCCCTGAGTGCTTCAGTCATCTGTCTATGGCTAAGAGGATACACATGACGGAAGTTGACAAGGACGTGCACCCCTCCGTTCTGGCGCTGGGCCAGCAGATGAGCGCTTTCGCGATCAGTGATAGCACCACGAGATTGGAGGCGACTTTGCTGGCGTTCAAGAAGGTTGGTTTTGTTTGCTCCGAGAAGGTCAAGACTCTCTTTCTCACGTGTGGCAGGTCATCGACTCATACACAACACCTCCGGGCAACACATTCTCCCGCCACTTCACATCACACATTTTGAACCCCCAGATCGAGTATCTCTCTGCATGCAGACCCATGTGCTTCTCCATGGGTAACGCTGTGCGCTGGCTGAAGCTCCAAGTCAGCAAGATCGATATTGACCTCCCCGACTTCGAGGCCAAGAAGCTCCTTTGCGAATCCGTCGACAACTTCATTCGCGAGCGTATCGAGCTGGCCGACTTTGTCATCGTCAAGACGGCTGCCGACAGCATCGAGAACGGCGAGGTCGTCCTGACCTACGCGCACCACCCGCTCGTCGAGCGCGCCCTCCGTCAAGCTCACGCCGACGGCAAGAAGTTCTCCGTCACTGTCGTCGACGACCCATTTGAGAGCACCGGCCGCGAGCTCGCTAAGAGCCTGCGCGCCCTTCCCGGAGGCGGTGTCGAGGTCTCATACTGCCCGGACCTGAGCGCTATGCGAGCCCACCTGCACGGGACATCGCGCGTGTTGGTCGGCGCGGAGGCCATGTTCAGCAACGGTGCCATGTACGCTCGCGCGGGAACGAGCGACATCGCTATTGCGGCTGCAGACCAGGGTATCCGAGTGGTTGCGCTGTCGGAGACCATCAATTTCACTGAGAGAGTCGCAATGGACTCCCTGACGTTCAACGAGATCGACCCTGAGCAGATGACTGCGGACAGCTTCCGTCTGCTCTTCGACACCACTCGGGATCGTCACATTTCTGTTGTTATTACGGAGTTGGGCATTACCTCGCCTGTGTCTGTGCCGGCGATTCTGAGGAAGTTGGAGGAGTTGTAAGAAAGAAAAAGGTGGTAGATTGTGTGAGGCAGCGACGTATGTCCCCGAAGGGACACACCGGGTTTTGGGCGCTTCTAGTCCTTGGTTTCTCCCGTAAATAGATACCAATCCATGCGGACTCAGAAAGAGACGCATCATAGACATTAGCTTAGCAAATGCTCATCGCGATTTGAAGAGTTCATATCTGGCAGTGAGACGTTGGTGACTTTTACGGCGTCAATTAAGCCTCTCTCAACGCAATATCTACACAGGGAATCCGCTCTCTTTAAGAGAATATCCCATACGGCATCGTCCTAAAAACTTCCAAGGACGCCCCGTGGCACAGTTCCCAGCCTTTCCAGCTTGATACAGGTTCTGGTGAATCCTGAGCCGTCATCATGCCTAAGCTTCTCGAGTGTCGTTTCGTCGCTCTCCCCAATCCTCGAGATAGACGACTCCTTCCGCTCTATCTTTTTCTTTCTTTTTTTCGGTTCAAAATTTTATCATTGTCGGTAGAAACTGGGTCGTCTATTGATCAGCCTCCTTGCGCGCAGCCGCCCTTGCGCGCTTCTCGAGCAGAATCGACTTGCGCTCGTTGAGGAAGGCCGTCTGCCTGTCGTCGACGCCCTGGAGCCAGTAGCCGAAGCTGCCACCGCCGACCATGTAGATAGGGTAGACCCAGAGGGACTCCTTGTTGAAGAAGGGGCGCATCTCGATGCCCATTTGCCAGAAGCGGACGGCGAAGCCTGTGGTTCCTCCGTCAGCAATGCTGTCCTCAATACCCATTTTCCGTTCTCTTGAAAAGACCGATAGCAACTTCGCCGTCCTCAATGGCTCTCGGAAGCCGATCGGGGTGTGACGGAACGCAGGGAAAGGGCATCACGCACCGAAGCCGCTCCAGAAGGCGATCCTGCCGACCATTGTCGTTGGAGTTGTGAAGGGGTCCGGGAAGGGTTCGAGAGGTGGTCAATTGACGGAAGGGCCGGTTCCGCCGATCGTTAGATAGCTGGTATCTCGGGTTTGGTGGAGCGTCGGGTTCGGTTCAATTGACTGAGGTGGTGATGGCAGCTTGGATGAGTGGTCTGTGGTCCGCGTCCCCGGCCGGGCGGGCTGCCTGCTGGGGTCGGCGGAATAATTGCAAATCGAGTTTTTCCGATTCGATCGCTGGGTGAACGCTGGACTGGGTGCTTCCAGCGCTGTAGACCCATGAAAGTATGGGGGTTTCGGCGGTTCAACTCCCCTGGATGTCAAGACTTTCTTTCGTACCTCCCTGCTTAGGACAGGAAAGAAAAATTATCTCACAGGAAACTTTTATAACAAATCATTCGTCTGGTTTTGATATAGTATTTTCAGATATGTCTATGGCCCAAAAGGTCTTCTCCCTACGCATGACAGCACGTCTCACGACCTGAAGACATGCAGTGAAGCTTCTTAGTCATTAATACCATCCCCAATTTTTAGAATCCGATATGGTGTAGTGGCCAACATGATGCCCTCTCATGATCTTGAGAGGTTAGGCATAGCCCCGAGTTCGATTCTCGGTTTCGGAACTTATCTTTTGCTTTTCCTATCCTCCCAAATCGTTTTGTTTGTATCTCCCACGTCGTTTTTTCTCACTGAGCCTCCGCTACCTTGTATGTAGCCTTTTCTCTTTGCAACAACTAGATGGATTTTTGGCACGCTGATAACGTGGGTAAATTAAACGACGGGTATCACTGTTTTTTTCCAAACCCCTGAGCAGATTGCTCACATAATACGTAAACGTCTATACATACACTTCTACAATGCGCCGCCAACAGCCTGTGCGATCCACATTGCTATCCTGACGTTGAGACCGACGCGGCGTTCAGGCTTAGAGAAGTCCTCGCGAGTGACGCGCTCAGCGTATTCTTGAAGCCATGTTTGCTCTTCGCCCAGACGCTTCTTGAGGTTTTCATCCTTGGTAAGGATCATGGCCCCCGCTTCCAAATCATGAGAATAGCTGCGCTTTGTGTAATTGGAGCTTCCCACGACGCTGATGGACGGGTCTTTCTCCCCTGGCAACGTAATCCAGAGGCCCTTGGCGTGATAGGTCCAGCCTTCAGGCTCACCAACGGTACCTTTGCGCCATTCCTTGAGAACAATGGAGTCGTCCAGCTTGCGCTCGTGGACGGCGCGTACGAAGCGGCGAGCAAGAAGAGTATATGCGCCAGGCAGAAGCCCAGAGACACCCGAGGAGCCGTAAAAGCCATTAGCCTGCTGGGAGGCTGTAATGACGACGTTATTTTGAGACGCTGTGGAAAGCAGCAGTTTGGTTAATGACGGTGCAGGGTTGAAGTAGCCTGCAGTAAAAGTCCAAGATGAACCTGCGTATTCAGGCAGGGCAAGTGTGGACAGGACGTGTGTGACAGCGGGAAGCTCGGTAGATGTGTCGGGTTTCATCAACTGCGACAGTTGAGCGAGCATATACACTTTAGTGTCTTTGCTCGCATCCTGCGCGGCGGTCTGCCTGGGAGAAATAAGGGCATGGAGAGCAAGAGTGGTTGTGCTGATGAACTGCTTCGGCTCTTCCAGAGGGGAGGGCGCCGGGTTGGACTTTGGCCAAGTCAAGACAAACCCAGCGGGCTCCTTTGAGGGCTCGACGAGGAAGCTGAAACCAGCTACTCCTTGGTAAATATTCCAGAAGTATTCGGTCACCTCTTTTGAGGAAAATAGATGGTAGCGATCTTGACGGTTAGTGAAGTAGTCGTTAGAAAGATTCGCCCTGAACTCTGTAAGCTATCATCTGGAACTGGGAAGGGACATTCATACCCAGAGAGAATGATTTCATCGTCGATGCCATACAGCTTCATATGCTGCAGGCCCCATCCTTCGTTGATGCGCTTTGGGATGTACTTCTTTCTCACTCCGGTCAAGTTGGGGGTGTGGTACATCCGAATCTCAACTCTGTCTGGGCCGAATTCGGTGACCAAAGGCGCAAGTAGGGAGGCACATGATGGATTCGGCTCCTCTCGAGTGCCTCGGAGCGCATCCGTAAGGATGCTCACCTTAAGCTCTGGATTGTTCCGCAGAGCTTCATGCAAAGTCGCAATCTTAAGCTTCATCAGCTGTCGTTCCAAGCCGCACTGTGCACTCAGTGTATCTCACCAGCTCCTTCTCCGTCTTTCCGATATACAGGGTTGACAAGAAGATCCTGCTCTTAGCGCTGCGTATCCGCTCCTATCGCCGAATCAGTCTTCCGCTCCGAGCTCGAAATAGTTCTCTGCGCCGCACACCTTCAGAGTTTCGTAGAAGTCGGTCGGTGTCTTGATGATTCGGATCTGGGAGCCATTTATGCTGAAAGACGGCGCGATCTTGTCAAGCTCATTCGCAAAGGGCGCAAGCATGCCTGCTGCACTACCGGAGCTTGAGGCCGCTGGGGCACCGGCGGCGGGCATCGCAAATCGTCGGCATTGCGGTCGGGACCGGGTGACGTTCGTTTGGGCGAAAGGGATCTTGAGCTTCGTGGAGCACCGCGAAACCCCGCGGACAATCATGGCGCTTTGATGGACCGAAAAACACTTATTTTTCCTTCGCCATAAGGTTGCGCATTCAAGAAAGAGTTCATCTAAAGAATGCGAACTTCGAGACCCCAAAGACCAGGATTAGTGCATGAAGCTCCGTCATTGGCGGCGGGATTCACCGGCTCCAGCGAGGGAGCCCTCTGTCCAATCGCCATTCAGGTTATGTAATCCAAGCTCCACAGCGGTACCTGCGTCGTTCAACCTTCCCGAACGTCGAGCCTTCAATCATTGCCGACGACAGCACAGCTTCTCGAGGTCAATTGACCAGCCGCCGCCATGTCGACCCTCCCGAGAACGATTAGCAACCTGCGCAAGGTTGGAATCAAGGCATGCAACAACCTCCCGCCCCCATCGCGAAGCCGCCACTAACTTTCTCTCGCAGGAATACTTCCGCCAGCTCCTGGTACATCCGCCTCCGAAACCCGATCGCCAGTTGACCCCTCTAACGCTCGAGAAATTAGTACATTGGTGACACCAAGCACGGACGCTTTGTCGGCGAGGACAAGGCCGGTAACAAGTTCTACGAGAACAACGACGAACTTCCCCGTACGAGACCCCTCCGATATTGCGCAATAGGTAGGATGAAGGCTGACGAAGGGACTGGGTAGTGCGTACACGATGGGTGGACTTTAAGAAGCACGATTACGACTCGGCGCAGGTTGAGCCCGGCTGGCACGCGTGGCAAGGCTTCATGGTCGACAAGCCCCCCACGGAGGACCCCCTCCTCCAGACCAAGACCCGCAAGTGGGAGCGCCCGGAGCCGATTCCCAACCTGACTGCCACTAGAGGAGCATTCAAGACGTTTAACACGTGAGTTTGTCACATTTTCTTCGCGTCTGGATGTGGCGGGGTGCTGATAATTTCTCCGCAGAACGAAGCCAAAGATTGCGAGCTGGGAGCCCAAGGCTGTTGAGAGGCAATGAGCGCTGAAAGTATGGGATGAATGTACATATGCCAACATCGCTCGACGCAATTTCAGACTTTTTTCGCTTTGTGATCACAGCACTTGCTTGTAGTGGTGCTTGGCGTCCGCCCTTCGGCGGCTTGGTCAGGTACGTTCAGTGGCTGTTCAAGCACCAAATGAGTGATGATAGCAACGGGATTGGTATTGTTGGGAGCACATCGTTCCGATGATGAGCTTCTCGAGATTAGGTTCGCCTCCGACCGGGGCGCCTGGTGCTGTTGACACATACTGTTGATGACTGGTATTCCTACCTGCATCGTCGATGCTGCCCAAGGATCCTACAAGAATCAAGTTTCAAGGACAATCCAGCGGCTATTGACGAAATCATCCGTCGCGAGGTTTGAATTCCTATCAGAACCCTCAATTCCATCAACAGAACTCCCTTCAGTGAGATGACTATCACTGGGTAATTGTCTCCATATTGGCTGGGCTGCCTGGTAGAACGATCGAAGAGTTCAGGAGACAGAACATGAAATTTTTGCGGATACTTTTGCCGTCGGCGGCATTCTCAAGCTTTGGAGCATACGTCATCCGTGACCGTTTTGCTCCTGAGACGTAGCGGAGGGCTTCATTCGTTACTTGGAGTCTCGATTTGTTGCGACCCTGAGGACACCTACAGAACGCTTCAAGACCTACTTGCTACTTGGTCTGCTAATTCTGCTTGGTCTTTTCAAAGAGGGTCATCATAACGCAAATAGTCAGGTTGAATTATTCTTTGCAGGCAGCAGGAGGCTGCGGTGACACTCGTCAACTACCATTCATCAAAACCTATTCCGATCAAAGTCGCCGCCCTCATGTATCCCACACGTCACGAGATCACCTCTCACTCTGGCTTCCTCCCGTAGATAGCGTAACTTAGGAGTGTTAGTCAGTGGAATCTTGAGGGCAGAAAAGTACCCAGGGATCGATGGTAGCTTACATCGGCATGTATGCATGCATGCTCTTGTCTTTCAGTCCGTTCCGGACATCGACCAGGAAGGCCTGCACTTCCTCTTTCTTCCAGTTCAGCGCTCTGGTATAGGCAGCCATGGTCCAACCTTCAATTCCTTCAAGATTGTTGTGGAGTGACCAAGTGCCGATGAGTTTATGCTTCGGGTCTTTGGGCCACGAATTCATAGGCCACTTGTACTTGGTCATAACGATATCGACAAAGCCCACTTCCTTCATGACGTCGATCAAAGACGGAATGCTCTGAAACGGCCGGCCCAGAATTGCACATGCCTCTATCAAAAGCTTACCGCTTTTTACAACGGCGGAGTCAGGTCTCAGCGTGTTATCGTCTGACTGAAGCTGGCCACCAACCTCCAAAAGCTCGAAGTATCCTCCGGGCGTCAGATTACTGAAGGACACTGTAAGCATCTTGACATTATGGTATAGTGTGGAATCCGAGTGGCTTACTCGAAGGAGTTTTGGATGTATCTCTCCCAATTCGAAATGCTCGATGTCATGAATCGACTATGGATGTAGTCAAAGGGCTAGGTGTACGTCCATGGTTCTTCAACATCATCGACCTCGAATCCTACGTTCGGTGGAGCTCTGCGAAAGTTTCAGGCAATGTTCATGAGGATTTCCTGCGAGATAAACTTACTCAGCTGCTGGGGGAGAAAGGTCAACGCCAAGAACCTGTGGAATGATGCGTTAGAGTAATAAACTTCATTGATCTAAGGTGAAACCGATCCTCAAATTACCTCTGCATTGGGGTGGACATCTCCGAAGTCGATGGTCCACAGCCCAGTGCCGGTGCCTAGGTCAAGCACACGGTTGACCTTGGAGTTCTCGTCGTTTGGCGGTGCCAGACCAAGCGTCCGGTCCAGAGTGAGGAGACATAGTTCATGTTGGAGGTCTATTTCAATAAATTGTTAGCCAAATGACGAAATGCATAACATCATCATCGCATAGGGGCACGTTAGAATTCCACCTAGTCTCTCGGTCTCCTTCTCGTCATTCGGATATTGATATTCTGCCACCTCTGAGCTTCAAACACTCTATCAATCACAAGCTCGGCTGACCTACTTCCTTCCTTGTACCGATGGTACGTTCGACCATTCTCAAGTTGGAAGTTCCAAATGGAGCTAGCAATACTACTGGTAGTCTGCTGGGAAGAAGCAATACTCTACGTGAAATGTCATTCAACAGCTCGAATTCGTCAAATGCAGTGGGGCTGACTTACACCACCAAGCTCTGATGAGTCGTCATCGGCGACCTGTGGAAGTTAAGCGCTGCTGATGGAATGCGGTAGCAATTCGCTGCCTGCAGATAATATTTACCTCAGCATCATCGACTATAAGTTGAGTCTCGCCAACATGACGAATATCGGTGTGTTCACGTCCTGCAGGAGTTACAATGTTGGGCGCGGACATTTTGACGTAGCGATATGCTGCTTGCTTTCTATGAGCTTGGCGTTCAATCGAGGGTAGCGAAGTCGGATAAAAAATGCGATCAATTTGTTCTTTTTATCGATCTAGTTGATGTAGACCCATCTACCCCTCTTCTTAGATGACTTTCATGCACGCCAGAGGCAACAATGCACTTTGCCGCAAAATGCAACGATTTATTGCAGCTTCCCAAGAAGAACACCAAGTCCGACGTGTATCCGGACAGAATTGGACCCTAACCCGACGAACTTCTCTTATGACAAGCCCAGAGTCAATTTCATTGGCTCACTGAACGAGGCGCGCTTAGCCGAGCTCGGGGAAACGATCCGTTGCGTGGGTTCGAGAAATGCTGTTGGATCTACATCCGTATTGAGATTGTCCGGGGACCAACAGAGGAATATCGGTCATACGATAGTAACCCGCTTTGCCGTGCCAAGCTGACGTCGCCTGTGCCGAAAGTAAAGAGCCGCAAAGATACACATGAGAAACGATTCACTTGTCAGTTTGCCATACTTTATGGCACAATGGCGTGCGTTGAAGATCAAACGGAGAACTCGGGAGATAGGGCGAAGAAGGGAATAGGTGTTGTCTGTTACCGCAGCTGACTTTCTCACATAGATGAGTACAAGTCATCTTTCCAGCCTCTCCTCTTTCGAAACCTGCCCACCTATTGCAGTACTTTCCATCTCCACTTATTACAACAACAAAGAGACTTGTTTGGCATATCTCAAAACTAATTCGTTTACAAATCAATGCGGAGTTGGCCTAGCCCTCACCTGGTGGTAATCATAGCGCATCGGCGATGTTAAGAGCTCATGCCGATATTCATACCCTTCCTTCAGAACCCGTTTCCATCGAAGTTTTCGCCGTTATCTTGTGTACTGCATCAGATGTCCTTCTTCGCTACGGCTTTCTTCCATGAATGACATAACTTTGAAATGTCAGTAAGCAACTTGGCTGAAGCAGGGGCATTGCAGAAGACAGGGGAAAATACTCACATAGGCCACCATGCATGGATGGTCGTATCCTTGAGCTCCCTTCGCACGTCCACGAGGAACACCTGTACTTCCTCTTTCTTCCACCCAAGAGCCCTAGTGAAGGGCGCTATGGTCCAGCCTTCAATCCCATCTATACTGTTCTGATGTGCCCACATACCCAGCGTCTTGTAGTGCGGGTCTTTAGGCCAGGTGTTTGACGGCCACTTCTCCTTCATGATTGAGACGTCGACAAAGCCGACTTCGCGCATTACGTCGACGAGTGCCGGTATGTCTTGGAAAGGTCGGCCGAGGATCTTGCAAGCCTCTTCCATGTATGTCACGCTCTTGATCATTGCCGCATCTGGCTTGAGGGTTCCGTCGTCACATCCGGGGAAGAGGTCAGTCTCTTGCAGCTCCAGGTATCCGCCGGGCTCGAGGTTGCTGCGTAGCTTCGTAAGCAGATACTTTCACACAGGTCACATCTAACGACGTACTCGAAACAGTTCTGGATGTAGGTCTTCCAGTTGGCGACACTCGACGTCATCATCCGGCTATGAATGTAGTCAAACGGTCGACTGTATGTCCAAGGCTCATCGATGTCGTCAATCTCGAAAGAAACGTTAGGAGGCGCGCTGAAGTTGTTAACGACATAACCCGCATTAAAGACGTCTCAATGAAGGCCTGCAACATACTCTGCCTGGGGAGGGGAGAGGTCCACGCCAATGACCTGAGTAATGACGCATCGATAAGCAAGTTCTTATTCACCGTAGGAGAGCGGCAAGCTTAACATACCTCAGCTTCAGGATGCAAGTCACCAAAATCAATAGCCCAAAGTCCAGTCCCAGTCCCAACATCGAGGACGCGTTTGACCTTCGAACCCTTGTCGTTGGGCGGTGCCAGTCCCAGCCTGTCGTTCAGAGACAGGAAAAACAGCTCATGCTGCAAGTCTATAAAAGCTGTGAGTAAACATAACGAAGTCCATCTGGAATGTGATTCCAAGCTAAAAAGGACGAAAGCGAGAAACCGGGGCGAAAGTACCGAGTCGTTCTGTTTCCCTATCATCATTGGGATAGTTGTATTCTTATCTTTGTTAGAACCTCGCACGAAATCCGGTCTTTGGAGCGGAGGACTCACTTCCGTCCTTGTATTTATGGTATGTTCGCCCATTCTCTAACCTGTATGCAAAGATGGACTCAGTAACACTTGTAGTCGAAGAAGCGATGCTCTGTAATACACTGTAAGTCCAATCGCAAAACTTCGACTATCCTCGCATAACATACGGCGCCGAGATCCGAAGCTGCGTCGTCGGTGGCCTAGAGATAGGTTTGTCAGATCAATCATCTTGATTGTGGTCTGCATGGTGAATCCATACCTCATCAGCAACAAGGCGAGTATCGCCAGCAGCTCGGTTGTTGGACTGCACATTCGGCACAGGAGCCGATGTTTCGGTGGCTGCAGACATTATGGACGAATCAAGATTGCTTCAAGCGTACAGGCTCTCCCAATGTTCTATCAAGAAGGCGGAGTACAGAATCATGCGAGCGAGCGAATGCTGTCTATTTAATCTACGAACGCGGCGCAGTCTATACCCCTCTCCTTGGCCGAAAAGACACCCGTCTGTGTATGCAGGCTGGCGGCGAGTGTGGAAGACTTCGCGTTCTTGGACCCCAACTTACTGAACAAAGCGAAGGTCCGGCGATGTGTGGACTGAATCGGGCCATGATCCGAGGAAGGTCACCTGTTGCAGATTGTTGGCGGGCGCTATTGGCTAGAAACACCATGGGTCTGCGTAACCGAGACTGGCAACGCGCTCTGCTGCATATGCTAATCTCGTTGAAATCATTGACCAGCCTTGTCAGGTCAGAGAACACCGAGTCCGAATTGAGTCCTTCCGGGCCATACGAACCGCTATGTGTCCGGCAGACGAACGGGGCCGGGTGCCGGTTTAGGGATATCCGGTCAAGGCCGAAATGTTAAGAGCAGAGCCACGATGGCCTACCTTGTGGAGGTTTACTTGGTTCTCCAACGCACACACACTTTGCTGGTTGTGTGAGGCGTAAGTACCTTGTCTGCACAAGAGCTCAGTAGGGTTCCAAATTCCACAACTTACACTAAGTTGCAAGCATAGAAAAGGTGTGAAAACGAAAACTATACCTACCTGACAAAGTATACTACCTTACTGAAAAGACTTTTCTTCTTTCGCTTTACGGTCTGAAAGTTTTCCTCCTCACCATCCAGCTTGACAGAACCAGTACTGTCTGTCATCTTGATACACCCTCTTCAACTCGAAAGAAGCTCCTCGGTCCACACGCTTCAAAGTCATGGCTCGAATTGTTTCTCCCAAAGCCATCTATATCTCCCACGACGGTCGAGTCGTCGATCTAAGTGAGATCCCAGAGGGTGCAGGCAAGACGGCGGACGCTTCCAAGACCGAAGAAGAGTTTGTCATGATTGGTGATTTCTTCGACAACCACCTTTCATCCACCAAGACTTCAAGCCCCCCCCTCCATGAAGATGAGGAAGACGACCAGCAGGAGAAGGCCACCGAAGACAGTGACAACGACAGCGATAGCGATGAGACCATAGATGCCACCACTACCCTCGCCCACAACCCCTGGTCATCCCTCAAACACGGCACCCGATGGGCGACCCCAAACTTCCAACCGGCAGCACCCAGCTGGGCAACCGTCATCTCTCGAGCCGTCTACATCCTGCTGTCTCCCTCGAAGTGGCGGACCATGTTTAACCACCTGCATCGCTTGGGTGATAATATCAGCATGTTTGACAGGGAGTGGCAGCACGAGGTGCTTAGAAACAACGTTCCTGAGCCCAGCCAGGAGCAGGTGTTCCTCCGGGGCGTCTATGAGCACGCTCGCACGGTTCTAGACGCACAGGTCTCAAGCAAGCCAAACGCGCAGGTCCTGAAGATCTTGTGGGCACAGCGGTATTCCAAGAGGTCGTTTGAGAATATCGCGGCGAAGGAACTCTTATATAGGATGTGGAACACATGCGACGATGCTTACACAAATCGCAAAAAGCGGGATCAGAGATCAATTACTGCTCCTGTGTATCGGGTTGAACGAGTGAGCCGAGACGTTCAACAACACAACTAAAAGCTTCTCAGTCAAATTTTGTGTTAAGAAAGTTTCACAGCCCATCTATCAAGAGGGTACACAGTAGGATAAACACAGTAAAAGCACTTCATCTAGTGCTTCGTCTAGTGAGGGGATCGCAGTCTAGTCAATCAAGTATTATCCCGAGAATCTGACAGCGTGGTGACGTGAATGCCGTCGTGAAGAGTCTTATTTTCCGCTTTCAGCGTAATCGTGCTATCATGTGGACTTTGGTTTTTCCTCAGCCAACTCAGCGAAGCCCTTTTCCTGGAGTTCCAATGAGCTGATATCAGGCACAAGTGGTGTCTCTGCTCCTTCTTGTGCCGCGACCTTGGCCTCACCAGCGATCATCCCCACCTCCGCCCCAGCATCGGAGCTACCGTCGCTGAAGTTCTGCCACGTGGACGGGTTGATCTTGCTAGGATTCGCCTCACCCTTGAAATGGTACCCCCTCGCTCTCGGCCTGGTGCCGGTTCCTTGCGGCAGGTCCGCCTCGTAAGTGGCCACGAACTTTTCCGATACCTCCTCAAACTTATCGGAGCCCGCTTGCAGCGCCGCCCGGATGCCGGCGAAGAAGTTTGTCAGTACCTGGTGGTTGTGTATCTGCAAAAGAGTCCATCCAAGCATTTCCTTTGCGTTCAGGAGGTGGTGGACGAAAGCTCTGTGATGCGTCGTGCAGGCGTAGCACTGGCAGCCCTCCATTAGGGGTTCGAGCGCGGTCTCGTGGTCTGGTTGCCACATGTCGATACCGAGAGGTTGGATGCCACCATCTGTCGGGGGGAAAGTGAAGGTGAGCGCCACACCGGCGTCGGAGATGGTGTTGAGGAATGGGACCGTCAGAATGTCTACTCCGAGAGAGACCTGGCGGAGGATAGCCTGCGGTGTCTCGGGAATGTGCAAAGACAACCGAGGCAGGTGGACCAAAGGCTTGTATTTCTCCTCGATATCAGGCAACAGGTCAATGTCATAGATGGCCAGTCCTGAGAGCGAGTCGACAATGTCGTCTGCCAGATGGCTAAGGTGCTCCCATTGGATTTGGTACGGGACAGCAAGAACCGGCGCAAAGACCGAAACACCACGCTCCTTGAGCCTCTCCTGCCTCTTGAGGCTCAGAAAGACGTCGGTCCACTCCTCAGTCCGTTCGGCCATGCGCACAAGCTTCTTAGACGGTGGCATGCTGCTCGTGTGGAATAGATCAGCGGGCCCGATAACAATATCGGGTCTGAGTGTCTCGACGGCAGCGGAATAATCATCAGTAGTGAGGTTCCGGAAGCCGGTCGAGGTGAAGATGGAGATGGTCTTGTTCCTGTTCCCTACTGGCGTTTTGATGGCCGGGTTTCGCCTTGGAGCGAGAACAGTTGCGATACTATCTGGCAAGCAGGTGAAGGCGTGCAAGGGTCTCTGGTCCCCTGAAGGTATTGACAGTGCGGAAGGTTTCTTCTTCTCGATGACTGTGATCAGTTAGCTTCGCGGTACATGCAGGATATCGACGATAGACTTGCAGTCTTCGAGTGCCATGTAGGTTGCTCCAAAGGATGTGTGCTTTGCGAGGTTGTCGGGGGTGATGTGAGGGACAACACCTCGTGAGCCCGTCGCAATGTAGTTGGGCGTCTCGATTGGCCTTCGTTTGGGGAGCACTAGCCTTCCCAGACGAGCTGCCGCCGCGCCGTCGGCGGACTTCTTTAAAATATCGAAAATCATGTCGTCCTGGTTCCTCGCCCCGTTGCAGGTTGTAGCATCAGACATTTTGGCACATCACCAACTCCGATTTGCCAATGAGTCAACCTCGGAAGCTCAACGCCACTAGGTCTTTAAAGTCTTTGCTGAGACCTCTCGGAGCGTTTCTACCGTTACCAATGAATTTTTCAAGGTTTCGTTTCTCCGCGCCCAGATTTTGTGGACTACTTGCCAGTATCCGTCGTTTCGGTAAATCGTCAGTTGTGGTGTTTCTAGCGCAATGAGCGAGAGAAAACAGACATGGCAGCCACACATGGAGTTCAAGCCACACGAGCTATCAGGGACGAGGCTTGGCCGATGTGGCTGGAGCTTCCCTGGCCAGGTGGGGCAGGTGGGCAAGAGATGGCAGCCGGGGTTTGGGGAAAAAGCTCGGGCGGATCCGAGTGAGGAGCTGCTGCAGGGGCAAAGCAACTCGGGCCATGACAGACTCAACCAATCATGACACTTGACTCTTGTTACTTCGATTCACTCACGGCAGGGGGTTTCTTAGACTTTACGGGGATTTAGAACTGGGTCTAGTTCCCCTGCTGCTTTATCCATCTTTGATGTCATAAGAGGTGCTCAGATCTAACGGCTCGGCCGGCTTGCACAATCCGGGGCCTTTTGAACGCCTTGACAAATAAGACGATCCTAGGAGAACAGTGCATCTGAACGCAATTCTTGGCAAAGCCCGAAGATTTAGATGCCTTATTCCACTTTCCAGCTATACTCGCCTTGATTACTATATCTTCAAAATATATCAAACTAAAGGCAAGTGCGGTTTTGTCTCAACCCCAGAAACTTCGTTGTAAATGTCCATACACATATACCTCTTCCTTTGGGCAACAGCTCAAATGGGCTCATCCCTAGGCTCAATGAGCACCTCGTTGACAGCAACATGCTCTGGCTGGCAGACCGCATAGACAATTGACGACGCAACATCCTCGGCATTCAAGACCTTGGCGCCCGAAGGCTCGCCGAACTTCTTAAGGGCCTCGGCGTCCGTAGACATACTGAGCAGATCCGTAGCCACGTTTCCGGGCTGGATCGAAGTCACCCGCAGACCTGTGCCTGCGGTCTCCAGACGCAGACTCTGCAGGGTGGCCTCGACAAAGAACTTGCTAGCAGAGTAGACACCGAGACCCGGGAACACCTTGCGGCCGGCGTCTGACGAAATGGCGACAATATGACCCTTTCCACGACCGAGCATGCCGGGCACAGTAGATGACAGGCAGTGCAAGAGACCCTTGCAGTTGACGTCGACCGTACGCTCCCACTCTTCGGTGTGGTTGTTGGCCATCATGGTGAAGTACATGACACCAGCGCAGCTGACGAGAATGTCAACCGGTCCAAGCTTCTCGGTCGCGGTCTGCATGAGCGACTCGACGTCTTCCCTCTTCGTGACGTCTGTCTTGTGAATGAGAACCTTGCCTCCAGTGCCGGCAAGCTTGGCCTTGACACCTTCCAAGGCCTCGGTGCGCCTTGCCGCGAGAGCGACGTGGGCGCCCTCCTTGGCGAGACCAGCTGCGACGGCTGCTCCGATGCCAGATGAAGCACCAGTGACTACGGCAACCTTGCCAGCAAGGCGGCCCACGTTAACTCTGGATGCCGCGCCGTTGACGTTGGCCCGACGCGGCGGTCTTGAAAGCCATCCTCTAGCGTAGAAGTGACGAGTGTAAGTCTCAAGCAGATGGCTATCGATCTTAGGACGATCCAGCTTGTACTTTGCCAGGACAGACGCAGTGGCATCGTCCTTGAGGACAGTGACGGCCTGCAGAGTCTCGGCAGTGGGCATACCACCGCGAAGAATGTCAACGGTGAAAGGCACGTCACCAGCAGCTTTGGTGCCGAATCCTCTCTTCTTGGTCCAGAGCTCGACCCAGTCGTCCCATGGAATCTTGGTTGTTGTGTATCCAAGCTCCCGTAGGCTGTCGAAGATGTAGCTGGCCGAAATTGGGGCGGGATCGCCAAGGTGGTAGACCAATTGGTTGGGGTCGGTATGATTGGCGAGTGTTGTAATAGCAGCGCTCACATAGTCGACAGGGGTCATCTCTGCGAACCAGTTGTCGATGCCTGGTGCGGTCTTGAGCTGCAGAGACTCGACAATCAAGGCATTGAGCAAGTCCCAGGCGTTGGTAGACCCTGTCTTGCTATGGCCACTGATTGTACCTGGGCGGTAGACTTTACAAGGCATGCCGCGGCGAGCAGCCTCGTAGACCAGCTTTTCGGCTACCCACTTCGTCTGTCCATAACCATCGATGAGCTTCTCGGGGACATCGTCAATGTCGACCATGGCGTCTTCGGACCATCCGGCCACAGACGGTGTCAAGACACCGTTTGTGGAGATATGGTGCAGGGTGGCACCGCTCTTGGATGCGATACGCAAGATTTCCCTGGTGCCTCCAACGTTGGGGCTTCTCAAAGCAGCGTAGGGGTAAACCAAGTTGACAGTTGCAGCAGCGTGAATGATAACCTCAATTCGGGAGACGAGCTCGTCGTAGACGTCGGGTGCAAGACCGAGATGCTCTCGAGACAGATTGCCGGGCAGAATCTCCATTCTGTCAAGCATAGAGTCGTCCCAGATACCCAGATCGATGAGGTTCTTGCGGATTCTGGCCATACCTGCAGGCGCAGACTCCTCTGTCGGATCCGTGAATCGGACTAGGCAGATGATGTGCGCGGCAGTAGTCTCGATGAGTTGCTTGAGAAGGAAGGCTCCGAGGTAGCCGGTAGCGCCGGTAAGGAGCACCGTATCGGCATCATTCAACTTGCGCATAGGAGTGCCGTTGGACTTGATGTCCTTGGGAAGCTCACAGTCAGCCCGGAGAACGGCGGGAAGATCAGACTGAACTGCGGCAGTGTGACCATCGCGAGCATCACGAATTGCCTTCAGGTGACCCTCCAGAGTCGGGTTACCCGCAAGAGGAGCCAATGGAACAGGGAATCCGAACTCCTTGGTGAATCGATTCGCGAGGTCCGCCAGCACAAGAGAGTGGCCGCCGATATCGAAGAAGTTGTGCTCTTCCGTGATGGCAGTTGCGGGCATGTTGAGGGAAGCAGCCCAAAGCTTCTTGACGGTCTCCATCTTGACCTTGGTATTTTGCTCCTTGTCTCCGTTGACGGCAACCTTGGGGGTTGGGGGTGGAGGCAAAGCCTTGAGGTCGACCTTGCCAGAGACTCCGTGGGTGGGAAGCTGCTCCAACTCAACCCAGAAAGTGGGGATCATGTACAGAGCCAAGTGCTCTGAGAGGATGCGCCTCGCGCCTGGGCTGTATCCAGACTCGTCGATAACGACATCTGCGCGGCCTCTCTTGTCTTCATTATCCCGCACCACATAAGCTACCAACTGCCTCTCGAGGCCGTCACCGTGAGAGGAGACAGCGCAATCGCGCACAGCCAGGTGCTTCACGACGGCATTTTCAACGGCACCGGGCTGAACGGTATAGCCACGCGTCTTGATCATGCCACCGGCTCTGCCAGTGATCTCCAACAACCCATTAGGAAGAATGCGGGCGAGATCCCCCGTCCGGTACATGCGGGCACCCTCCTTCTTGTCGAAGGGATCTGTGTGGAATGCCTTGGCTGTCGTCTCGGGCAGGTTCAGGTACCCACGTGCAAGGAGGTCTCCACCGACGTAAAGCTCGCCGCTGATGTTGTTGCCAACGCGGTTACCATCCTCGTCCATGATGTAGATGTGCTCCGGATCCATAGGCGGCCCCACGGGGCAGACACGGGCCTCAAAGTCAATGAACGTGCTAATGTCTCCGGCCGCAACCTCGTGGGTCTCGCTGGCGCTGTAAACATTGAGCAGTTTGGTGTTGGGCAGAGCCTTCATTGCTCGACGGCACAAGTCGGTGGTGACAACTTCACCGTTGAGCCAGAGAGATCGCAACTCTGTCAGGCGGCTGCCCAAGTGCGGGTGACGAGACAGAACAGTAGCCAATAGAGTGGGTGTCATAAGAGTGTCTGTAATGCGCCGGGACTCAAGCAGGCTCACAAGAGCTGTCGGGTCATAGCTAGCACAGTCTGGAATGGCAAAGACTGTCGCGCCACGCAGAAGGGGCCGAAGCATCTCCCAGACAAAGAAGACATTGCAGGCCACCCTGTCGCCAGGTTGAAGGTCGCTGAGGCCAAATCTGAGGTCGTATGAGCGCACAGCAGCTCTGTGAGGGTTGGCGATGCCCTTAGGCTGGCCAGTTGTACCGCTCGAGTAGGACACAAATGCCAAACGCTCGAGATCATCGCTGGCGGGCAACGGAGGGAGTTCTGACTCCTTGTGTCCATTGACGGCTGGCTGGCTAGGCTCGTCATAGGCGATGATGGGCACATCAGCCTTGATGTGGTCGACATGCTGTTTTTGAGTGATGACTATTGTCGGCTTCGCATCTTCAATCACATCGCGCAGCAACCCGGAAGGGTATGCCAGCTCGAGCACCAAAAAGGCCCCGCCTGCACGGAGAGCAGCCACAGAAGCCACAACGTAGTCGGCACTCCGGTTCATGAGAATGCCGACGAGGTGGTCCCGGCCGACTCCATATTGCCGGCGCAGACGATCAGCGAGAGTCTGCGTTTCTTGGTCCAACTCGGCGTAGGTGAGAGTGCGAGTCTCATCCTCGAGAGCCACAGCATCTGGGGTGGCTTTGGCCTGCTGCTCAAAGAGGGCAGCGAGGTCCTTGTTGATGTCGAGAATAGGCATTATTACTGTTGGCAGGATATGTAGGGTATAAGGTAGGCCAAATGCAAGAAGATAAGGTAAGGTATGAGGAAACGGTGGTCACTCCCGGGATACACGATAAGAGAAATAAGGAGGTAAATCAACAGACAGTGTGCCCAGGAATGGTGTAGCAAGATTGCAAGTAGTGTAGAGGCAAAGATTTAGATCAAGCTCTAGGACTTTTATGAAGTGCCGGAAAGCTGCAGCGTTCAGAGGCTGGGAAGGAAATTGGTCACGAGACCAGGTTGCCAGAGCTTTTTTCCAACTTTAGTTACCTTGAGGGAAGGCGAGAATACCTGGATACAGAGGAAGATCCCGGGCAAAAAGCAAGTCAACAAAAAGGAAGGACATGGTGGAAGGTACCTAACTGCCTGGGTTGCTTGGCTTTCGCAAGTCCCCTACCCGCTAAGAAGTCCCTCAACAAGTCAGGGACCAACCAGCGAAGCACATGCAAATGCGATAGTCGTCACGAAGCGTTCATTCATCAGTATGGGGAGGCGAGAGCGGCCCATAACACCCACCTCCAGTGGGGGAGCGGCCAATCAGAAGCTAGGTGACAGAGTTGACCGGCTGGGTTAACTGGGTCAAGCTGGATGGAAGGCGAAAGAAACCCGGGGTGTCGGCGTCGTTACCGTGTCCCGGCCGACTCCAACGCAGAGAGCAGCGCGGGAAGGCGGTTGTCGCAGTTGTTCGGTACCCTAGGGCCGCCAGACGGGCTGAGCAGGCGTCTGGACTACTCCGAACCTTACCCTAAGCAACTAGGCGACGTAGGATGCCTCAATTGGCCGGTCCAGGCCTGGTTATGCGGTAAAAGGGCGTAAGGGGGGTACTTGGGATGAAGGGCGGGCGAGGCTTTAACATATGCAAAAAAGTTGCAGACGATGTCGGTGACGAAAAAAGTTAACTCGCGTGGGGTCCATTGTTGTCTCTTGAGCATGGGTAATTTAAGCTGAGTTGCAATTGTCAAATTAAAGACAGAGTCAAGCACGAAATCGACCCTTCACGCGAAATGACTCGCTGGTTGTTGAGGAGCCCCGGTTGCGTGCTACCTCTGTGGCTTTGTTGCGGGTGAGTGTCGGACCGGTGTGTGGCTGTAAGATGACATAATCCTGTCGGGATGTGGCTTGTGCTTAATGTGGCTGAGCATAGCTCCGAGATCCGACTATCGGCTGTCGGTATCCTGCGGAAAGGAAACGTACCGAAGCAGCGCCAGCCCTAAAGCAGCACTGGGAAAAAGATACGTACTGGGCGCGTTATCGCCGGAACCACTCTATCGCCACGCGAGACGCATGGACCAGTCGATGGCCCACCTGCCAAGTGAGACAGGGAACAGCTGGGAAGAAGTGCTTCGGCAGCGCGGGATCGACTGCTTCAGGACCAGGACCTGGATCACCTGGCCGGGTGTTGTGTGCTGCGTTTCCTCACCTTAGCCACAGCTGTGCCATCCGTCGTTCAACCGTCCTTTCGTCTGATGTTTTTCTGAAGCCCATGCGTTCGACGTCGTTCGCTCGATGGAGGCAAAACAATCGTTTCACGCCCGAGAGAACTCGTCATTTTTCTGCATCGCTTTGCATCGCATTGATACTACCGCACTCTCACCACTTGGCACGCTGGTATGCCTTCCCCCCGCTCCGATCTGACCGCAATGGGCGTAAATGCCGAGCCTTTTCCCTCGCTGACTGATCGTCATGGCGTAGCCGTCCTCGGATTTCCACGCTCCTAGCCCTTCGCCCCCCCGTCCGGTCCGGACCTGTTACGACTACATATCATCTCACTACCCCCACGCTCCCGACCCGCGAACACAATGGTCGACGGAAACCATTTAGAGAACGAGCCGCTCTTGAGTAACATGGAGCGACAACAGGCCGGCGAGCCTCCGAATCGGACGAACCCGACCGACCATCCCGATGCGCCCCTCGAAGACAATCCACGCCGCGAGCTTGAAGTCGACGAGGACTCTGGACCATCGACTCCTAGGTTCATGCAGGATGAGGGAGAATGGAAGCGCTGGAAGTGGGTGCCATACCCGGTCCGTCGAATTGTGAAGGCCACAGCGAAGTGGTCCAAGGGCCCACAGAATCCCAGGGACTACAAGATCAAGCCCATCCTCCCCCAGGTTCAAGAGTTTCCTCTCGTTCTGGTTGAGAAATACTTGAAGACTTCCAAGCATCGTGTCGGCATTGTGTTCCTCTATGTTGCCATCTGGATCATCACATTTGCGCTGGTCAAGAGGAGTGAGACGTTTGCGACCGAGATTGAGGGCTGGGGAGCACCCCAGCAGATTGGATGCGGCGCGACTTACTGGGGGCGAGGGAACAAGTGCGGCCTCAATGGCGCCGATTGTCGTCCCTTCAACGGCAGCGGATTTCCCTTCAGGTGTTCGGCCAACTGCAAAGGCTACATGGTCCTGAACCCGAGAGCGGTCGGTGACCAGGAAATTGTGTACCAGTCCTTCGTCATTGGCGGACCGGCCAACGATACTAGCCAGCCCGTCTACCGCGGCGATTCGTTCCTATGCGGTGCTGCTATCCATGCTGGCGTGGTCAGCAACGAGAATGGAGGCTGTGGAGTGGTCCGCCTCGTTGGAAAGCAACAAGACTACATCAGCACCGAAAGAAACGACATTGAGAGCATCAGTTTCGACTCGTACTTCCCGCTGTCATTCACTTTCGAGCCGAATGTGCAATGCAAGGCCCGCGATCTGAGGTGGAACCTTTTGGCTGTCTCAGTCGTTTTCACTGCCATCCTTTCCATCTTTACGGCTTCACCAGCGCTGTTCTTCTTCTCGGTCTTCACCGGCATCTTCTGGCACGTTGGACTGGCCTCAGACCCGCCGAATCACTACTCCGTGGCTGACCTGGTCTCCAATATTATCGGAAAGTTCCTTCCGGCAATGTTCTGCGCCTGGGTCATGTACGACAAGATGGGTATTAGGCGCACTCTTTTCGGTCTGACGGCTCAAATTGAGAAAACCATTCTTTGGCTCGGCGGATGCTGGGTTGGCGCTCTCACCAACTACACGTTCACATGGATTCCGATCCAAAGACTGAACGCCCACGACTTGCAACAGCAACCTGGCGCCAAAGCCGCATTGGCCATCATCATCATTGTTCTCGTCGTCATCATCGTCAAACAGGTGTGGTATTTTAGACAAGAAGGCCGGCTCATCAAGTACCTAAAGCTATACTTGCTCTTCCTTGGTGGAATCATCGTATGTCTCGTCCTCCCGGACTTGAGTCTGCGCATCCATCATTACATTCTCGCCTTGCTTTTACTGCCCGGCACAAGCATGCAGACTCGCCCTTCGCTCCTCTATCAAGGCCTTTTGGTGGGTCTTTTCATCAACGGTATCGCTCGCTGGGGATTCGACGCCGTCCTCCAAACACCCGCCGCCCTTCAAGGAGACGCGCAGCATGGATCAGCACTTCCCAACATTCTCCCGCCCGTTATCGACCTTGCCCAAAGCACGTGGAGCATCAATTTCACGTGGACCGTTCCCTCAGGGGCTCTTTATGATGGAATCAGCGTTCTCGTCAACGATGTTGAGCGCTTCCGCACTTACTTTGATGACACGCCCGCTCAGAACAGCTTCCAATGGACTCGCGACAGCAACCTTGGAATGAACGAATACTTCCGCTTTGGATACATGGAAGGCAGCGAGAGTTATGATTTTACTAAAGCCGGCATCTGGAACGCCGAGGGCAAATGGATAGACATGAAGGAGGGTACTTCCATGGTGCGGAGTCGAAGCTTAGTAGAAGAGGAAGAGAGGATGCCGCGGTGGTAATTATATAACGTGAGAAGCACACTTATACTAGACGTATAGTCAACAAGATCATTCGAATTGGATCATGAAACCTGTCTACGAAACCGATACTGAAGCATCACATGTCCTCAGCAAACACGAGCGAGAATTTTGTTGGAATTACTATGGTATCTTTGAATAGCAAGAAGATCATCGCGGTTTCACGTCTCGCTGAATCTAGGCGCCAGGGGTGCGGCGGCAAAGGGGTCGGCCACGCTCGAGGGTGTTCGGGTCGCACGTCAAGCGGCTGTCCTCGATGCAGGTCAATTGTGCGCCGCCTGGTTTTGTAAGTGTCAGCATGCTCCTACTTCTCCCTCTGTTTGGCTTGCTAGAAAGAAGTGCAAACTCACAGTTGTTGATGCTGTCAGGCACGCAGCGGCCGGTCTGGCCGTTGACGTTGCAGACGTCCTGCTTCAAGCTCGTGTTGGCGACGCAGCAGGCGCCGTTCGGGACGGGGCGGTTGTCGTTGGCGCCCTGGCGCTCCATGAGGAGGGTGTCACGGCGGACGGCGGCCATGGCGGGGTCCTCGACAGCGGCGGCAGCAACGCTGTGGGCGGCGGCGAAGGCCATCACGATGGTCTGGAGGGAGAACTTCATCTTGACTCAAGGTATAGAGAATTGGGGAATATGCGCGGTTGTGGGTGTCGGAAAGACTGTGGCCGGGTTTGTCGAGCGCGAGAGCAAAAGAAGGATGTGTGAGAGTAAAGAGTGTCCGACCGGCGGCAGAGAAGCAGAAGAGACTGAACAGTTGAGATGAGAGGCCTAACGAGACAAGTTATCCAGAGGGGCATGAACGGTAAGGTTATATATAAGCGTCCGGAGTAGTCCTCTCCATCTGAGCTCGATTCACCCCGGCTTTCACGATGTGTCTCAATTACTACTACTCTACTCCTGGACCACACTGGTGCAACCAGAGGCGAAGTGACCGAACCCATCGGACCCCAATACTACACGATCCCCATGATCAACCGGAGGGATGAGGGAGTTTCGGGCGGGCAGACTTGCTGCATTCCCCAGCTGAAAGAAGAGCTGAGGTAAAGGAGGAGGCGGTGACATGGGACGGCCGTCGACGACCTGAATCACAGCCGTCTGAGGTTCACCTCGTCACCAGCAAAAAAAGTCTAAGCCCTGTCATTGTCCAAAAGCGAAAGCCAAAAGGGCAGTGGAAAGCCAAAAAGGGGACGTGGATGAGACGAACATGGGTAAGGGGAGGCTCTGTCCTGGGACATGCAAGAGGGCCTTTTGGGTTTAGATTGGTGCTTCCAGGAGTCGTGATGCGACGATGTTGGTGGGGAATTCGTCTGGAGAGGTGAAACCGCGGACAGGGGTATCGCTTCCTCACGACCATCACATTTTCGGAGCGGAACCGAAGGCTGTGTGAGCTGGGCTAGGCTTCTTTTGTATTTCAGCGACGAATTCGAGGAAAACATAGGGAGGTTGTTATGAAAAGAGCTCATGAGATCGGATCTCTAACGTGGTTGGTGGACTTTGCTCTTGAGGGGAGAGTAGGGTACGGTGCCCGAAGGATGGTAAGCTCGAGGTCTCGGCAGAGTCGGCATCCCGCAACAGTGACAGCTTGGGAGCGGTTCTGTTCTTAGCATGGCTGAAGGAATTTGTATCAGAGAAGCACTTGTTTCCAAAAACTTTTGGAATCTTCTGGACCTTGCCCCCGGAAAGATCTGCCGAGGGTTTCTGCTGTCAGCATACGACGTGGCTGGGAGACGGCTTCGGGTCTGGGGATCACCACGGCTCGGTGAAGATCACGGATGAGATGATCTCCGTCTGATCTGTCATGGAAGCTGAACGGTTTCTGGTGGAGCTCTGCCGTCGTTGTTATTGTTTCTATGGTCATTTCTGTTGTTGTCAATTCAAGAAGTGCGGAGCTGCCTAATCTTGGCACCAAGATGAGCTCAGTCGTATTACTAAGAACGCTTTCATTGCCGGTCATATTTGAAGATGAACAAGAATTTGGAAGTGAACGTGGTGTTGAATTGGATCTTGAATTGCTGAGATACTTTAACCACAATCTTCAGTCCCCGACTAACACGGAGTATATGAAAGAGAGACGTGAAAAACTACTGAGCAACGTGGACTTAATGGCATGAGTTTGTGAAGCTAGGTGACATTCCAGTTCACCACCAAAGTGAATCATCACAGAGACGTAGCAAATATTTTCCATAGAAACAGGAATGTATTAATTAAAATCTTCCAGTATCTAAAAGAAAGAGAATAAGAGTAGACAGTTCAGGGCCTCGAGAAACCAAGCTCTCAAACACCCCTCGGCCAACTTTCTGATCATCAATCATCAAATCTACTCCTCATCCTCGACCGCGTCAGCCGGCGCGGCCTCGACAACCTTGTTCGCAGTCTTCTTGGGCTTGGGAGCGGTCTTGGCAGCGCCGGCAGTGCCACCACCAGCAGCCTTGACGGAGGCGTCGACGACATCACCGGCCTTCTTCGCGACGGCGTCGTCCTTGGGGACGTCGGAGGCGGTCGGGTTGTCGGTGGAGGCGTTGAACTTGAGCGAGGTCGCCGTCTTGCCCTTGTTGGCCTGGTCGTCGGCGATGTTCTTGTTCAGCTTCTTGGTCTCCTCCTCCAGCTTGGCCGTCACGTTCTGGCCCTGCGCCTGCTGGGCTTGCAGCTGCATGACGGTGGCGGTGAGCTTGAGGACCTTGTTCTGGATCTTGGCGCGCTGTTTGTTGTCGTGTTAGTCGCACATTCTGAGACTCTCATGATAGAGTAAGCAGGGTGGGAAACAAACCTGAAGAGCAAGAGCATCTTCACCAGGGGTGGTCTCGGCGATCTTGGTGTTGTAAGCGCCGCGCTCGGCCTGGTTGGCAATCTTGTTGACGTTGTTGAGGAACGTGATGTCCGCCTTGTCGACCTGGGTGAGGTCCGTGGGCAGGCCGCTCAACTTCTTGAGGGCGTCCTCCTTGGCGGTGCCGGCGGTGCCTCCGCTGATGGAGAGCTCGTCAAAGGTCTTGGCCGTGAAGACCGGGGCGCGCTTCTGGATCTTGCCGGCGCTGCTGCTGTCCTTGGTGGGGGCAGCAGAGGCAACGGCGGCGAGGGCGGCGAGGACGATGGAGAACTTCATCTTGAGTTTGTTTGTAAAAGAAGGTGGTTATAAAAGTAGGTTTTAATTAAAAACGATTGTTGAGCGAGAGACGATGGTTTGATGAGAAGAAATTGAAACGACAGCACAGCTGTGGGAAGTAGAGAATAAGACTCGAAGACTAAAGATTGAAGATGAGATGGAGAGAGGGACAAAACGTGGTACAGACGCGGGAATCTTGGCCGATCTTATAGATCTTTCCGAGCATCTCGGACCAGCGTCTTTACACATTCCAGCTCGACAGATCCATGGGAAAGCACTGACAGGACGAACCTTCGGCGCCGCCGTACCGGAGCCGTCTGCCTCCGTGTTGGTCGGTGATTAGGCTTTCGACGATACGATGGGGATGGTGAGGGGCCATACGGGCAGATTAAGGCGCGCGGGTTGGTTTCAGAGTGAGGTGATTACTTATTCTCTACGCGCGTGTGTACAAACATAGCAACACTCGGAAAAATAAAGGGTAGCATTAGAGAAAGGCGTACGAGAACCGTAGAGCCGCCTCGTGGTCGTGGGTCCAGCTAGACGGTAAAGATGCCGGTCGACTTCAAGGACCTACCCTGGCACGGCCGGGGCTGAGCCTCATGCTGTCCCCCTCCCCATTGAGCAGGTAGGTCTTGGCTGCGCCGTCTCATGATGCGACGACGAAGTTGGGTGTTGGCTCGAGTCAGCGGCGAACCGGTCTTTGCAGAGTCTGCAGAGGGAGACTGGTGGAAGGAGAGCAGGTTATGGAAGGCAGAAAAACTCAAATTTGAGACGAGTTTTACTGATGTTTTTGACAGCCTGAACCTTGAGGAATGATGGGACCGTTGGGCAGAGTCAGTGTTGAGAGGGACGCGTAGGCTTGTTCTCACTGATCCGGACCGTCAAAGCCTCGGTCTCGGTCGATGGTGCCGGATGCTTCAACCATGAAGGCCATGTGGCAGTGTGCGAGAGTGAGAGACAGACAGAGGGAGGCAAGAGTGAAGCCGCCGAGAGCTGTCAAGCCTAACCCCCCGCAGATCGACCGGCGATAGATTGTAAGCTTATGATACCCATATTACATGCTCGTGGGCCCAAAACGTTCAGTGGGCTAAGATCAGCCCTGCGGTGATTGAGGAAAGCAATTTATCGCACATGGTGGTGTTTGAAGCTCGACTTTGCGTTGGAGAAAAGTGGGGTCAAAAGTCAGTTCTCTCGCTTTCGTTCATACGTCAAACCTCTCCACTTGGAGATAACTTCATCTCCTTCGGCTTGGCATTCAGTCAAGTGAACAACTCACGAGTAACTCACTCATCCGCACTTTTCACCAAATCCCTACGACTCGAGACTCTTCAAAAATAGGAGACGTCAACGACTCAGCCGTCTCTCACAAAACCCCCATCAGGAAAGAAGACGCCGAATACCACCATCATGCCCCCACGGATCCCGACCCCGGAGGACTTCGCTCCAATCCAGCAAGTCCTACCCCTGACCCTAGCCTTCCCAAACCCGCCAGAGTCCACAACAGCCATCCTTATCCTCTTCCACGGCCTGGGAGATTCCGAAGCCCCCTTCGCCTCCTTCGCCCGCGCAATGTCCCTCCCCGGCGTTCTCGCAATCTCCGTCCGCGGCCCCTCCCCGCTGCCTCCATCCATGCTGCCCGACATGCCCCAGCAGTCCTCCTCCTCCTCCTCCCCGACAGGCCACTTCCACTGGGGCGACGACCTGACCTTCGACCCCGCCACGGACGACATCTCCCCGGATCCGGGATTCACCAAAGCCGCGAACCTAGTCACAGACAAGCTTATTCGCGAGACGCTTATCGGCCGCTGTGGCTGGGAGCTGAGCGACATAATCCTCTTCGGCTTCGGGCAGGGCGGATCTCTCGCGCTGGGCCTTGCTTCGCAGCTTCGACTGGGCCCCAAGGTCGTCGACGTGACGGACGGCGGCCAGAAGGCAGGGAAGGGCGTGGATGAGGGCACGCTCAAGGGCGTGCTCTCCATCGGCGGGCCCCTGCCCCATTCCATGATCCCGACGGTTAGTACACGCGGCAAGTCGAAGACGAAAGCCTGCCTGGTCCAGCTTGACGACGACGCTTTTGATGATGTGAAGGAAGAGTTTCTTGACGTCAGGGTGGTGAGGTGGAAGCGAAAAGACGTGGCGATGCCCCGGGACCGCGAGGAGATGTTTCCTCTGATGAAGTTCTTCGCCGAGTGTCTGAAGAGTGGTTGGTAGACTGCAGCATACTTGTCAACGGAAACGCTCAGGACGAAATGTGTCTACGCTCAACATGCACAGCGAATTAGACAGCGATTGTGCAAGACCATGTGTTTCCCCACCATCATCGCCGACAGGCTTGCAAGAATTGGATGATATTCAAGAAGAAAACTAATGAAAACATGGGTTCTGGGGCTGCTGAATGGCCCCAGTAAAGCATGTGCAGCAGCCGAATGACACAACTGCATAATCGACGAGCTGAGGACGAAGGACCCTGGGCTTCACCCGGCAGACCCAAGCCGATGGTTAGAGACCGTAACATGGATCACTCCCCATAAAGGACATGTCTGCCTTACGACTGAAGAAGGTTGCATAGAAAGCGCCCAAGCCTCTCAAGGAGGAGATGGAGCGAACTGCCTGGACGAGTAGGATGTGGTATTCAATACTACCAGTCGAGGAATCCTAAGGCTAGCGGTGGATACCATAATTACAAAGAATACTGGGACGTCCTCCTATCTCCGTTTTCCCCTGCATCATCTGCTACTTTGGCAGCAGCAATGCCTCATTATCCCCTCATGCGAGTCCCTGGATAGTCTTCGTCGCCCAAAGAGAATTTGACGGCCCGAGTTAAGGCATGGGCGAGTTCTCGTTGCCTTTCCTGACATCAGAGTCATTTGGCATGGTATGGTTCCTCGGGTCGCCCTGGGACACCTTCACGGTTGGATCATCATGGACACTGTGAGGCACTGTTGGCCCCCTTCCGACGACCTGAAGGTCGCTGCTCAGGCGGTGCGGTGCCGGCTGATACGCTCTAGGCATCGCCACGGTCTCATCATCGTGAACGGTGTGAGGCTTCGTTGGGGGTTCGGAAGCGACCACTGCATCATGACTGAGCCGATGGTCGTAGCCGTAATCAGCTACTTTGACAGCAGGATCTTCATGGACGCTGTGAGGTGGAGCGGCGGCTGCGACTTTGATAGCAGGATCCTCATGCACGCTGTGAGGTGAAGCAGCGGCTGCGACCTTGGCCTTTGGATCTTGATTGATCCTGTGAGCTTCTGGCTGGCGAGCCATCTGGGTAACAGGGTCTTCGTGAATAGTGTGCAGGCGCACTTCCTGGGCCGTGCCGAGGACGGGATCGTCGTGGACGCTGTGGAATAGGGGGTTAAGTCCAGCCGGAGCTATTGGATCACGGGCGAGTCGGTGAGATGCAGATGGCTTGTCAACCACAACATTAGGATCTTGTGATCCCAACACAGGGCTTCTCAGAACATCCGGCGATCTTGCAGGAGTATCTTGGCGATTATCGCGTAGGCAGTTGTTTTCTTTGGGGTCCTCGAGAAGTTCTTCGACAATGCTGATCACGGAAGGAGTCCGGTGTCGTACAGGTGGGCTGTTGAGCGGATTCCGCCGAATTACACGAGGTATCGACGTTTCCGGCGACTCAGAGATGACAGGCAGGCTCCTCAACCCGGGCATCTCCATTTGAGGCGGTGGTATGTAGGGGGTCATCACAGGCTTGAACCGGCGGGGTGACCCCATGGGCGGCTTCGGGAAAGGATGCTTGTCGAGCTCTCTGCAGAGCTTCTCTCGCATAGTAACTTCCTGGTGGTTTATATTGATGGTCCTCGTTCTTTCGGAACCTGCGGCATGACGGTCTAGTTTCTCGCTGCCTTTGATGACATAGTGTTCTCGAATCGCGAGGCGTTGAGCCTGAGCCATGGCTGCAGCACCGGATCCTGCATTGATTAGCTTCGTGAAAGGTGACTTTTTCGGGAGATGGACTTACCACGGCTGCACGTGTAGTCTAGACATACGGAATGGCAAAAGCCTACATCTGACGGAGCAAAAGGGTCTTCCGAGTAGGCAATCCGGTCCAACATTTCTTCAGTCTTCGCGTACGCCATGCCAGCACAGCACCAGTAGTATTCCAATGACGGATACCACTTGTTCACGTCGGTGGATTCGGCTAGCCAGGTATCGGACAAAACAAGCTGTAGAGTTCGACCCTCTCTGGTCTGCAGTAAGGGATCATGTCTGTGACGAAAGACGACAGCTCTCATCGTCTCAACCGTTTCGCTTTGTCTTTGAGCCCCGGCCATTTTGGGCTTGTCCTCGCTGTGGTCTCCTGCAAGCTTTTCGTGGACCACAGTGTGTTCTGAAGAACCAACCCGAGAAGCGGTGCGAGAAACAGCCCGAGAAGCAGTACGAGGACTGCCTCGGGGGGCGGGGTCCAGGTTATTGTAGCCATGGTCCACGCTGGGAATTGGCGACCCGATGGGGAAGCTCATTCTTCCAGCGAGAAGGAAGAATGGCAAGTGAATGAATGGGACTTGTTGTGTACGGTAAAGGATGACGAGCGATGGATATCAAAAGTGTAGCTGAAGATATTGATGGCTGGAAATTGTGCGGGTCGAAAATTGACGTGACGTTGGATGATTCTCGCAGAGATCTAGATGGAGGAGAGACATCCATTGTCAGTAGGCGTAATGATGGCATGAGCAGTCCCAAGGGTGGCAGGTGCCCAAGCTCGATGAACTTGGCGTCACTTCGGCAAGAGGTAACCCGCGTCTTCTTCCATGGGCATCGAAGTCTCTACGCCTTCGTCTTGGCATACATCGACCAACTGCAGAAGGAGCTGTCATGAGAAGGCGGCGACTGCGGACTTGACTTGCGAAACGGCAAGACCCATAGATGTTGGTTGGGGGAAGCCGCAAGTGAATCGCAAGATCCCGCGTGGTCAACGTAGGGCGGTAATGTAATTGATTTATGCCTTTATGAAATATTTGTAAGCATTGACGAACGAGTCCATCGTCAACTCAGTAGCCGCCCTACCGCCATGCCCATTCTCCGAGCGCCAATACCCCATAGTACACATTGCATGAAGGAGATTTATTCCTGTTCTGGTCTATGATTCCAATCACCTGATCACGTACATCTACTCCTCAGCTCGATCGTCTTCTCTCCATCCATTCGAGCCTCTCGAGGCTGCACTATGTAATGATCTGAGAGTTGTACTTTGGTTCTTATTCGACCACCTGTTGATTGTCAGCAGAGATGCACGACTCGTCGTGGTGTTGCCAACGTACACTTTGACTTTTCCGTCGTCGCCGCACGACGCCAGCATACAAGGGTCTGCTGGATTCCAGCTGACGGCATTAGTCCGGGGCTGATGACCTTCAAGCCTTTCAACGGCAGCGCCGCTATTCTTGTGCCAGATGAGGATGTTCCCATCTGCTTCTAGATTAGCTTGTAACGATGCAGTTCTGTGCGACTCCGACTTACCCTCGCTGCCGCTAACGACGAAACTTTCGTTGGCGCCACCAAAAGCACTCCTGATGAGGAAGTCGCCCCCCGTATGTCCGAGAAACTTTTGTACAGAGGTTCGAGTTGCCAAGTCTATCAGTTGCACCTCGCCGTCTTTTTTGTTGACAAGAAGATGCCGGGAGTCTTCGCTGATGCTGACGCAAGTTGGCCGAGCCTTCAGCTCCATTTCATACTCCAATTCGCGTGTGGTGGGATTATAGACGTGTATCTTCTGCACGTCGTCCACCGCGACCAGCCAGTGACCATCGGGCGAGCCGCACAAGTCCTGAACCCGGTGCTTCTTGCCCCATTCGTACAGCATTTCCCCTGAGGTGCTCCAAGTGCGCAGGCCGTGTTGCTTATCCAGGGCTCCGGTCACAAAACTCTTGCTGTCAGCGGCCCATACACAACCGCTGGCTGGCTCCTCGAAGCGCTCCAGTTTAAGCCTCAATTCCCCAGTCTGTATCATGAGTTGTCAGCTAGGGGCCTCAAAGCAGGCGCACAAAACATACCGATGTGTCCCACAGCCGTGCATACTTGTCCTGTGAGCACGTTACAAGCATCGAGTCGTCGGGGCTCCATGAGAAATTGCCAACACCATGAGCGTGTGGGCGAAGAACTTGTGAAACTGAGAATGAAGGGAGATCCCAAATGACAACTGCCTCGCCGCTACCACAGGCTGCCAGACGTTTGCCGTCGTGTGAGAATTGTACTTGCCATACCTCCCCATTCAGATCTGTCAACTCCAGGGCTACCTCGGTGGGAAAGTGGCTCCGCTCGCAGTAGTGATCGGAATATAATGATGGTGAAGATGCAGTGGTATGCCACAGACAGCTGTCTATTTGGCTCTGCTTTACCTGTTGCAGGAGAACCGCCAGCCTATTTTCAGGCAACATAACAGACGGCGATATACATTCTACGATAGGTCAACATTTGCGACACATGACACTCGGGGGAATATCACATACTCGACAACTCCGACAGCAGCACCTTTCTGGACTGACCGTGAGCACCATCCCATTCTGCCTTGGCCTTCAAATCCTCCGTGGACTGGCACATGAGTAGACTAGACAGGAAATGGAGCTTCTGGGTGTCTTGATAAAGCGGCGTGAGCTCTGTTCGTAGTACCATGAGGGCTTTACTCGTATCACGCTGTTCCAGGAGCTCTAAAAACTTCTGTTGGCGCAACCAGAATCGCATGACGTTCCTGTCTGAGCCGGGGGCCAGGACTAAGCCGTTCCCTTGTTGGCCTCGGTCATCGGACATGACGGCTCCGAAGAGAAGCTCCTCGGCTTGACCCCACTCGCCGTTGACGACCGCATTCCGGAAGGCGGCGACCGTTGGACTCTCGAGCTCGTAGCCGCTGTCCTTGCTGACGCTCTCCGCAGCACCATGATAACCCATGTCGGAAAGGGCCTGAATCAGAATGCGCGTCACCTCCTCGCGATCATGCCCGTAATATGTCGTCGGCGGTCGTGACGGTGTTTCCTTGTCGGAGCGGGAGGAGCCGTTCATGGCAGCGGCCTTGCGAGTTCCATTTGTAGCAGAGGCAGTCAGCTGGGCATCAGAGGATGCGCCGTTGGAGTAAGCCCTCGGAGCGCCGTTGGAAGCCAGTCCATCTCCGTCTGAGATCATGTTGGCGTCGCCTCTTCTGCGTTTGACGCGGTGGGAGGCGGATCGACTGGCGCCGGCAGACGTAGTAGGAGGGCTTCCCCGATCCGAGTCGGAAGTGGCTCGTTGTCTACGGCCCAAGACCTGACGAGGCGCCGTATTAGATGCTATCGTTCCGGTGGCAATCGAGGAATGCTGGGCAACGGCGGGGGAGTGCAGGGGCGAGGGATGGAGTTCGTCAGGGGAGGCCGAGGAGGGGCGAGAAGCGGCGACAGAGGGCAATAGATCTGGATTAGAGGGTATCTGAACGTTCGGCGGGGTGGGGTGATCGTTGGCGGCGAGAATGTAGTGGGAGTTGGGATCTGGATCGAAGTTGGGGTCCAGGTCGGGCTCTGTTGCCGCGGGGAGAACCCGCGGATGCTCTCGTCGATCGGTATCTGTTGGAAAAGCAGGTAGGGTCGCCCAGCATCGGAGGAATGCAAGGTCGGCGGTGACGAGTCGCTCTGTTGCTAGGCAGTTTAATTACTAGGCCTGAGAGATGGGTGCGAACGGACGGACATGTGTTTGTAGGCGTCAGGTAGTCGGGTCAGGTTAGGTAAGGTAACGTAGGTAGGGACGGCAAGGCGAGGCTCAGTAGAGCTGCGTCTGTACGAATCGCTGGTGGGAGAGCAGGCGAGGCAGATGGTATGCACAAGGGACGAGGTCTGGGAGTCGGGCCTGGGCGTTGAGGCCGGTAGTCTCTGGTGAGGTAAGGTATGTGAGGTACGGTAGGTAGGTAGACGAGGGTGGTGGAGGGAGCGTGAAATGGACGGGAAGGTGAAGCTTTGAGGTTTGGAGTTCGTTGGTGCAGGTTTCGGGGCAGTGAAGGATGGCATCGGTCATACCTACCCAGCAGGTCACCTACGTAGTCTCTACCGTACCTTCCACTGTAGGTTGGCCGAATACTTGCCTGGGCTGTCTTGAAGGTACCTACCTAAGGTAGGCAAGAAGGTAGGTATGGAGGTAGGTAGGGACCCGTGGACGGCAGCCGCGCACCGCTGCAGCACACTGACTGGGCTGCAGGGAGTGCCACTGGAGCCAGCGGACGAGCAGATGACGGGATGCCGGCTGATTGGGCCTATGGCAGCCACCCTGCGCGATGGAGTGGGGACGAATGACCTGCACCGCTTACCGGGGGGTTGGAGGGACGATTCAGTGCAGTCCATCTCCCAAGAACCCGAGACAACCATTCCCTACCTTAGCTGCTTAGCACATACAAGTGCATAGTAGAGGCCGACTAAGTGGTTTGTTTGTCCGAGCAGCACTACGCCAAATGCAACAAGTGTCTACCCTAGGTAGATACGATTTGAAAAGGAGGATTCCTGCTGGTGATACGTCGAGGAGGGCGCGCGCCTGAATGGCCAAGGCACGTTTGCCTTTCTCAGTGCACAACCAAGGTCCGAATAAAAGCCGGGAATAAAGTGCGTTGGGATACCTTGCTCACGAGACAGAGGCGTGGAAGACGGGAGGTCGAAGTGGCATTTGGACAAGGTACCTACAGATACCCAAGACAGACGGATGCTTGGGCTGAGCTTTCTCTTATCGGTCTTACTGGCAGGTACCCCAACGTTGCCTTGCCCAACTAAGGTAACGGCAGTGTAAGGTAGCAGCGACAACGGAGGCCGGGATGCTCATTATCAGTCAGGTGCCTGTGTAGTGCGTACATCATCAAGCCAGCCGGCAAGCTACGATACTGTCACTCACTTCCCGAAGTATAGCGGCAATCGTCCCCGTCAGAGAGTGGATGAACATGCAGTTTATCTGTCGTAACCACTGCTGTATGGTTGCTGATGATAGTTTTCTGAACCGAGCAGTCTGGACAGGTCTCTGGATGCAACACAGAGCCAAGTCTTGCAAGTTGCGCCTGTCTTCCAGTCCCTTGCCGTCATTCGCCGTTTCGGTCCGGGCGACAGAGCAGCGGATCCTGGTCCACACCGACGTTTCTTTCGTCTTCATGCAGCATCAGATGCACTACAGGAACGAGAGGAAACAACATAAACCGAACCCCTTTGTACCACTTCAGCTGAAGAGAGAAATAAATGAGATAATTCGATCACCTGGCTGTATCAGTCACGGAAGGACTCGGACGTGCATCAAGAGGCACCACCGCTGCCTCTGAAAGTCCCTCAGGGTGATGAATCCACGCGCAACTTGACTCTGGAGAGGCATGAGCGATAACTCACTTGTCGTCTTTTCGGGACCTGGCATCGTCAACATACCCTACCGTACCTTACCTTGTTAACAACTGACGCGGCTTGAATGACGTACGCGGAACAGGCAACTGTATTTCCTTCATCGCCGCCTACCTACCCTGCCTGTCGCATGCAAAGAGCACATCTCGAGTAACCCGAGAGCTGCACTAGAGATCGTGGCTGACCACTCAAATGTCCGCCTATCGATTCCAGCTGTCAAGTCCCCAGATCGATCACGTGAGGTCCCTCACCGTCCCAAAGCCCCGCCAAACGTCGTCGTGTCGGCAGAGTGACAGGGGCCTACGACTCGGTGGAGACAAGTCGCATGTGGCTGGTGCGTCAGGGATCTCTCAGGGCAGCAACGTGTGGACTGCCACTGCGTAAGGTACCTAGGGGACGTGGCCTGGGTCCCGTCAGGTTAGGTACGGATGGGTCCAGAGTGCGAGTGGCACCGCAGACCGTACCTTAGGTTTCGAGAGCAGCACCTAAGCACCTGGTATGTATGGCCTGGGTGCTTGCGACGTCTCTCCCGCCATCCCACCACCACCATCACCCCCAACCAAACAAAAAAGAGAGAACACCACGCTTTTCTCTCGCCAGCGATCTCCTGCGTTCGACCCTCAACCCGTACAAATACCCCGTCCTCGCCGACAAACAGGCTACCACGACCGATCTTGGCTGACCCCGACCAGTACACAGTCGTCCTGCTCACCGAATCCGACCCCCCCTTTACCCGGTCGTCCCTCCACACACTGCGATTCAGGAGCGACCGACCTGCGACAGGACACTTGACCACAAAGACGTCCCTCCGACCCTTTTGCCTCGAACACTTCTCACCGCCAACAACCCCCTCCAAAGAGCGCCGGTCGCAACGCAACCATGAGCGGCCCTCAGTCCCTCTCCACGCAAGGCGGCATTTCTGATCCCGCCTTGATCACGTTCGTGATGCCCAACCGTCCTTGACGCAATCCTCGAGCTAACTGTAACCCTGCGCCTCAGGCTCGTGAACAAGCTTCAAGATGTCTTCACAACAGTCGGTGTCACCAACCCCATCGATCTGCCTCAAATAGTCGTCGTCGGCAGTCAGTCTAGCGGAAAGAGTTCCGTCTTGGAGAACATCGTCGGAAGAGACTTGTGAGTCTGCCCAACCACTGCCTGCCCCGCCATCGTCACATGCTGCCCGGTATATGGTCCACAACTAACAATCCTGTCTTCCCAGTTTGCCTCGAGGCTCTGGCATCGTCACCCGTCGACCCCTCGTTCTCCAGCTCATCAACCGCCCCGCGACTTCCCAATCCAACGGCGTCGAGGAGCTTGCCGACACCAACGACAAGGCAGCAAACGCCGACGAATGGGGCGAATTCCTCCACATCCCCGGCCAGAAGTTCTACGACTTCAACAAGATCCGCGATGAGATCAGCAGAGAAACCGAGGCCAAGGTCGGCCGCAACGCCGGCATCTCCCCCGCTCCCATCAACCTCCGAATCTACTCCCCGAACGTCCTCACCCTGACCCTCGTCGATTTGCCCGGTCTGACGCGCGTGCCTGTCGGTGACCAGCCCCGAGACATCGAGCGCCAGATCCGCGACATGATTCTCAAGTTCATTTCCAAGTCCAACGCCATTATCCTCGCCGTCACCGCCGCCAACATCGACTTGGCCAACTCTGACGGACTCAAGCTTGCCCGTGAGGTTGACCCCGAGGGTCAAAGGACGATTGGTGTCCTTACCAAGGTCGATCTCATGGACGAAGGAACCGACGTTGTGGATATCCTGGCTGGTCGTATTATTCCTCTGCGACTTGGTTACGTCCCCGTTGTCAACCGTGGTCAGCGTGACATTGACAACAAGAAGCCTATTACCGCTGCCTTGGAGAACGAGAAGAATTTCTTTGAGAACCACAAGGCGTACCGAAACAAAAGCTCATACTGCGGTACCCCTTACCTGGCTAGGAAGCTCAACCTTATTCTCATGATGCACATCAAGCAGACATTGCCCGACATCAAGGCCCGCATCTCCAGCTCCCTGTCCAAGTACGCGGCAGAATTGGAGAGCTTGGGACCAAGCATGCTCGGCAACAGCGGAAACATTGTGCTCAACATCATCACCGAATTCACCAACGAGTGGCGGACAGTGCTGGACGGAAACAACACGGAGCTCTCGAGCACGGAACTGTCAGGTGGTGCAAGAATCAGCTTCGTTTTCCACGAGCTGTACTCCAACGGTGTTAAGGCGGTGGATCCCTTTGACGTGGTGAAGGATGTGGATATCCGCACTATCCTCTACAACTCCTCTGGTTCCTCCCCAGCGCTGTTCGTCGGCACCACTGCTTTCGAGCTCATTGTGAAGCAGCAGATTAAGCGCTTGGAAGACCCCAGCTTGAAGTGTGTATCCCTGGTCTACGACGAGCTGGTGCGCATCCTGTCGCAGCTTCTTGGTAAGACACTCTACCGCAGATATCCTCAGCTGAAGGAGAAGGTCCACGCGGTTGTCATCAACTTCTTTAAGAAGGCTATGGAGCCTACCAACAAGCTGGTCAAGGATCTGGTGGCGATGGAGGCATGCTACATCAACACTGGCCACCCTGACTTTTTGAACGGCCATCGCGCCATGGCCATCGTCAACGAGCGTTACAACCCCGCCAAGCCTGTCCAGGTCGATCCCAAGACGGGCAAGCCCCTCCCGGGTGGCACACCTAGAGCATCCAGCCCTGTCGTTCCCGAGGATACCTCAAACTCTGGTTTCTTTGGTAGCTTCTTCGCTGCCAAGAACAAGAAGAAGGCTGCGGCGATGGACGCGCCGCCGCCAACACTCAAGGCCTCTGGAACGCTTTCCGAGCGGGAGAACATCGAGGTTGAGGTTATCAGTAAGTATTCTGGGTCCTATTATGTTACAAGCGCTTAACAAATCTCGCAGAGCTGCTCATCTCTTCTTACTACAACATTGTTAAGAGAACCATGATTGACATGGTTCCCAAGGCTATCATGCTGACCCTCGTTCAGTGAGTAATACGCCTTCTGACACGATGGATCAATGGCTAACACGCGATAGATTTACCAAGGACGAGATGCAGAAGGAGCTTTTGGAGAATATGTACCGCAGCGACACCTTGGATGACCTCCTCAAAGAGAGTGACTTCACCATCCGCAGAAGAAAGGAGTGCCAGCAAATGGTCGAGTCCCTCGGCAAGGCCAGCGAGATCGTCAGCCAGGTCCAGTAAACGACACGATACGACGCACATGATAGCTCCTGAGAACATGAGAGCTTTGCCTGCTGAAGTGCTGGCAGCCCCACGCTTCCGGGGGCACACAAAAAGAAGGAGCGCGGCGTTAAGGCAGTGGAATATTCCCATACATCGTCAGCGGGGCCCCTGGAGGCGTGGACGACAGTAGACGGCTGGGTGGCGGCAGTTCCGGTGATAGTCCTTTAATGAGACGGCATACAATTGTTCCTTCGGGGAAAGACAAGACTGGATCAAGACGTCAAGACATTCTAGCGTGGAGAAGGCAGCAATGAAAAATTATGCGCAAACTTTTGAAGGAACGTGACTTCGGATCGTCTCTCGCTTTCGTTACTCATGTCCCTTCGCCAACGTCTGCGCTCGAGCTTCCGTTTCGTGAGATGCCCCTGGAATGGATTCAACATTCAGACGGTCCCTAAAGCGCATGCTCATATCCGCCAACACATGTATGACGTTCAACGGCTAAAATATCCTACAAGTGTCGGTCGCTTCGATGGATTATGTTAATAACCAAGCTGTCGGTGTACTCGATGAGGTGCCAGCATGGCGCGTGCTCTTGTATACTTTCCGAGGGCAGCCATTCGGACATGGTCTGGTCTAGGCCCAGATTACCGTTGAAAGAGCGAGTCAAAGCGATACGCAGTATACATCTCCCAAGCAAGAGTAAGTACGAATACGGCCAAACGCCGTCCACATGAAGCATCTGGGTATTGAAACTCCGGTACCTCTACGTTGCGTGCGCTAGTGCAACTGTGTCGGGTGAAACCAGGAAGCATCAGGGTAGCTCCCTTGCGTCTAGCCCTCCCCGCTTCTGGAAGAGGTCGAAGCTTCCGCTCAAGATGAGGCGAGGAGGGGAGGACAGGCGGCCTGCTCGGTTGGAAGAAGGGAGGAGGCGCGCGCGAGTTCTGTAGAACAAAACTCACGTCGTTCTCTCCCTTTTCTTTGCATCTTCTCATCCCCGCCATTCCTGTTTCATCTTCACTTATATAGCTACTTACCTAGGAACAGAAAGCTCACCGACGCAAAGGCGACGAGTCGATTTTCAACTCTGCAGCCTGCGCTGTAGACCTCTTTAACAACAGACATTAAATATTTGTAGGGAACAGAACACAAGTCCCGACACCCAAGATGAAGGCAGTCGACTTTGTGCGCTCGCAGTTCAAGAAGCTGCCCTACCCGTCTGAGGACTGCGGAGGCCGCACCATCATCGTGACGGGCTCCAACGTCGGCCTCGGCCTCGAAGCGGCGCGCCACTTCGTGCGGCTTAACGCGGGCAAAGTCATCCTGGCGGTCCGCAGCACCGACAAAGGCGAGGCGGCCAAGACGGACATTGAGCTGACGACGGGCCGGCGGGACGTGCTCGAGGTGTGGCCGCTTGACCAGGCGTCGTTCGATAGCGTTAAGGAGTTCGCGGCGCGGGCGGATAAGCTGCCGCGACTCGACTACGTGGTGCTCAACGCCAGCATCGCAACCTCCAAACGGACGGAGGCGGAGGGGTGGGAGTCGCAGGTGACGGTGAACGTGCTGAGCACGTTCCTGCTGGGGCTGAAGCTGCTGCCGGTGTTGCGGCGGACGGGCACGACGTTCAACGTAACGCCCAAGATTGTGATTACGGCTTCGGACGCGAGCCAGATGGTGAGTCCCTCATCCTCGTACATCTCGGGCTTGTCGGTCCTGGCGTCGAGCTGGATCCTGATCTTTGGGCGGGGACAGGCCAAGTTCCACGAGCGCAACGACGAGGACATTTACAAGGCGCTCAACGTCAATAAGAGCCTCACGGACCGGTACAACACGACGAAGCTGATGCAGATCATCATCGCGCGGCAGATGGCCATCGCGGCGGACGCGTCGGGCAAGGGCAAGGTGCAGGTGACGACGCTGAACCCGGGTCTCTGCGCGACGGCGCTGTTCCGCAACGTGCCGTTCCCGCTGACGGTGGTGGTCAAGGTCGGGCTGAAGCTGTTTGCGCGGTCGGCGGAGGTCGGGTCGCGGACCATCATGGCGGGCGCATTCGCCGGGGAGGAGGCTCACGGGAGGTACATGAGCGACTGTATCGTTGTCAAGTTCCCGAAGCTGATGCAGGGGGAGGAGGGCGAGGCCATGCAGACCCGGCTCTGGGAGCAGACGGTGGAGTTGCTGGACGGGGTTGATCCCGGGCTCTCGAAGAACTTGTAGTAGTCTGATGTCGAGAGTGGTCATTTGTCTTGGGGATGGATCGGGAAATTGTAAGATACCTTACCTCGGATTGTATGCTTCTAGTTCGAATAGGTATGTATGTTGCTGCGTTGCTGTGATGTGGCTTACAAGTGACGAGTGTATCAATCTGTTCAACGAACTGTGCCGTGTAAGTCGGGGATTGAAGTTTGTCGCAATGTTCCTGAGCGCAACCATCAAGTCATTTATTTTCTTCTCACTAGACCCGTCTTCCTTTTTGGGGAGCCCTTAAGACTTTGGAAATCCGAGAAACATTTTCAACAAGACTAAGAATGTGATGAGGTGCTCATAAAGTCACGGCATCAGCAGCAATCCGAATCGAGCAACCAGTTCACCGTCGGTGACCCCACATTCTCATGCACTGAAAGGGCCCCCACGGCGGCTCTCCTCCCCCGCGATTCGGCTGTTTTTAGTGCCCCCCAGCGGATTGACCGGGGATGCGGTCCCTTCCACAGGCGCAATCTGCCTCGGCTTTTTGGAGCTTCTCCAACTCTATCTCTGCCGGTTATTCTATTCCGTGCCTTTTTAATCAATATTAGATCTCTCCAGACGCTCACCCAACTCCTTCTCACATGAAGTGCTCTCCTTTCCTGTGAGATCACTTCACTGAAGCTTGATAGTGTAAACCTCTTCCTCTATTCTGAATCACCACCATCCAGTGCCATCGCAGAGTGAAATCCGCCCAACATGGTCGGCCCTCCGCCTCTCACGGGGATCAAAGTCCTCGAATTCGCCGGCCTCGCCCCGGGCCCATTTGCAGGAATGCTCCTCGCCGACGCCGGCGCCTCCGTCCTCCGCATCGACCGCACCGTCGGCGGCAGCGGGACCCCGCTGCCGACCGAGGACATGCTGGCGCGCCACAAGGCCTCCGTCGCCGTCGACCTCAAGTCCAAGGACGGCGTGGATTTCGTCAAGAGCCTCGCGTCAAAAGCGGACGTCATCATCGACCCGTTCCGCCCGGGCGTCCTCGAGAAGCTGGGCCTGGGCCCGGAGGTGCTGTGCGGTCTCAACGGCGGGCTCGTGTACGGACGCATGACGGGGTTCCGCCGCGACGGGCGGTACAAGGACATGGCGGGCCACGACATCAACTACCTCGCCGTGTCGGGGCTGCTGGGCCTCCTGGGCCGCGAGGGGGAGAAGATCCAGCCGCCGTGGAATATTTTGGCTGATTTCGCGGGCGGCGGGGCGGTGCTTTTCCAGGGCGTGTTGATGGCGTTGCTGGCGAGGGAGAGGAACGGCGGCAAAGGGCAGGTTGTGGAGGCGAACATGGTGGATGGGTCGGCGTACCTGGCCACGTTCCCGCGGTTCGCGCTCAAGGGGCCGCTTGGGGATGCGGGGAGGGGGAAGAACATCTTGGACGGCGGGTGTCCTTATTACGATACCTACGAGACCAAGGACGGCAGGTATATGGCCGTCGGGGCGCTGGAGCCGCAGTTCTTCAGGGCGCTGGTGCAGGGGTTAGAGCTGGACAGGACGTGGGAGGAGAGGAGGTTCGACCGTGATAATTGGCCGGAGTTGAGGGAGCTTCTGACGAGAACGTTCAAGAGTAGGACGAGGGCGGAGTGGGAGAAGGTGTTTGATGGGACAGATGCGTGTACCACACCTGTATTGGAGTACTCAGAGCTCGAGACGGAACCGGAGAGGGAAGGTGATCAGAGGCCGGTGGTGACGCTGGTGGAGACGCCGTGTCTGGCCGTCGATGAAGCCAAGACGGGGGATCCGAGAAGAGGCCAAGGTCCGGGGGTGCCAGGAAGAGGATACGAAGGCTTCACCCTAGCCCCTGGCGATGGTGCGGAGAGGGTGCTCTCGGATTGGTTCGGGTGGAAGAAGGGGAGAGATTTTGATGTGCAAAATGGAGGGCTGATACTCAAAGCAAAGTCAAAGCTTTGAGGTATGTATAGATAATTGCCGTTGTATTATTTCTTGGGGTCTTTCATGAAGACTACTTATTTAGAGCTTCAAACCTGATATCTATTCATTTGCCCTTAATCCTGACCCAGTATCGTCTTTTCAGTCTAGACGGAATGGATCAGCACGCCATTTCTTCAATGAACGGCTGAGTAGCATCTTCACTTACTCTTTCAAGCATCACCACACTTGATGCTAGCTAGGACTTGGCGGGGGGTTTGGAGGCGGCCGAGGAGAGGGCGGATCTTTCCTGGACATGTTTGCGGCTTGTCTTCGTATATGCCGCTCTTTTTAGCAGACTACAACGGACTCTTAGTCGTCGAAGACCTTGAAATTCGTCAGCCCAAAGCAATCAGACAGAGTCAGTGTGATACTCACTTCACAATGCTTCTTATTAGCTGTATGACGGTGTAATCGGTGCTGCTTCGTCGATGAGCTCCTCATCAAAAGCTCAACAATTACAACAACTCCCTTCTCATCTCTAAATATACGAAGCCGCGCCGATGAATCATCTCGAGCCTCCCCTGCGGCCATGAAAAATCGGCCCTCTTCGAACCTCCCTCCCTTCGCCGCTGCGCCCTCCCGTCCCAGACCGCCACTGTCTGCCTCTTCTTTCCTTTTTCCACCTTTAAATGGTGAGATGGCCGGGGGCTTGGCTCTCATTGAATAACATTGTCTGACCGACTCTGACCCTGCCTGCCACCATGCCGGAAGCCGCTCCCGCGACGGCACGACAGCGGCGGGAGAGAGATCCTCTTTTTTTTTCTCCTGTGTGTTTTCTTTTGTCCACCTCCCCGTCCCCTTCTGTACTCTGCCGCTCAACGCCATCCTCTAAGAAAATGACTCTCAGATTGGTTGTCTCAGTTGGTCCCGGCGTGTCGGATCGAGACGGATAGCTTTCCCGGACCTTTTTGGGAGCGTTCATTTCTCACCTATCATTGTCGAATATGGGCTCAGCGTGGCGAAAGGAGTGGTTGCGTGGTGGAAAGACGCGGGCTTGCTTGGTTCCCCGGGTTCTACATGGACTCACCGCTCCGTGTGCTATACATAAGGTATGTATGTAAGGTAGGTAGGATTGCGTGGGAAAAAAGCAAGCGTGCCATATAACGCTGCTCAATGGTGATTCTGGTATCCGATTCGCGCTGGATTTGTCTGACCAAGCCTGCGACGTGTTGAAAGTTCCCACAATTTCTGTCAAAAACGAGATGTAATAATGCGCAGAGGAACAGGTTTCACGCCGGTAGACTCGACCAGTTTTTTCAAGCCTGTTCCAGACAACAGGGGCCTGGCATTACCTTTACGCCTCGATGCAATGCAGGTATTTCATGCATGGTGCTGTATGCGAGGTTTTCTTATCACAATGCAGAATCAGGAAATGGATTCGGCGTAGTTGATGCTCTATGCCACATCTCATTGCTGGATCAGAAGCCTCTCAACGACTGGAGACGGGCACACATGTATCAGTCTCTCGTTTCCAAACTACAATGTGAGCATATTTCCCGCTTGGAGACTGCAGGATAATTCAGGAGAAGTAAAACTGCAGCTCGAAAAAACGAGAGGGTCACGCAAGATTCTCTAGCCAGCACAAACGCACCGTACATAAGTACATCAATATCACATAAGTAGATTGAGGGAATGTTGGTATCTTAACCTAACGAACGTGGTGTGCTGTACCAGCAAAACTCGAGCCCTTCGTTTGCACCCCATACATGATCAAAAAGAGTGTCGACATCAGCACCCTTCGTGGGGTGCCGACTAATAATACCATTCACATTCCTAGAGAGCCAACAAGAAACGGAGGAACAAAAGAGAAGACATGAACACCATAAAATTACTCTCCCCTTTGACTTCCGCGACTCAAGCGAAACACCGCTTAGAGCCGCCTAGCCTTCTTGTTCGCCGGAGGAGCGGCGTCAGCCGGTACCCCCTGCGAGACCGGGACGGGCATCGGGACGGGCTCGGGCACGGGAACACCGGTGGTGCCCGGAGCAGGCGCGGCACAGCCCAGGTTGCAAGGCGTCTCGCAACGGCCGATGAAGTCGGGCTTGTCGTTCTTGCAGCGGCCCTGGCAGGGGCAGAGGAGCTCGATGACGCTGCCCTTCTCCTGGCCCGGGTCGCAGATGCAGACGAAGAGGGTGTCTTCGAGGGACTCCGGGGACGGGGCGGAGGAGGCGCAGTTGGTGTTGGGCGTAGCGCAGTAGCTCTGGCCGAGTTCCTCAGTCTTGTAGCCTGGGGGGGATTCCCTGTGTTAGTGCCTGGGTTTCTTCTGGTATTGTATCGTGAGTGCGAACGTACCTTGGAAGCCGACGAGGACCTTGCCGCAGTAGGTGGCGCCGCAAACGCAATTCTTGCCGCCGGACGGAGGCACCGCGGGATTGGGAGGCGTGGGGACGGGCGCAGTCGGGTTGACCGGAGTGCTGGGCAGCGGCGCAGGGTCAACGGGAACTGGGACGTTGGGGATAGGTTGCGTCTCAGCGGGCGGTGGCTGTTGGCCGGTGACGGTCACGACTACGACGTTGGTCGTGGGAACTTGTGGCTGAGGCTGAGGTTGTTCTGGCTGTCCTCCCTCGGCCTGGGGCATTGCCGAGGCCCAGGCTAGGAGGGAGGTCAGGGTGAGGAGAGATGCCTTCATCTTTCAGGTGATGTCCGTTTGTGTCGCAAGGTAGAGAAGTGATTAGAAGTTGCTGATGATTCTGATGCGGACGAGGATGGCGTGATTGCTTGTCTAGACAACGTTGACAGCTTTATATACATTTCTCACGGTCACCAAACAGTCTGATAGTCTAGGGACGCCTTTGGGAACTCCAAGTCATCGCTGCTGTCGAGGACTCGGTCTGGGGTTGCGAACACGTTGTCCGTTCCACCCGTGAAGAGAGTCGCACCGGCACGCCGTCGATGAGAGAGGAGTGAAACGTTGAGGGACGGCTTGTTTCCGGCGTATTCGAGTCTGAACTAGATGAGCCCATCCAAGTTGGAGACTTTCAAATCTGCCTTCAAGTATTTTGAGACGCCGGGACACTTCCTCAGCATCGTGCTTCGATACCGGCGCCTGACTAGCCCGTGATATCTCATTTGGCTGGCCTTGATTCGAGATAACTTCATCGCGCCATCAATATTCACACTTGCCGCCCTCGGCCACATAGGTCATGAGGTAACCCATCACTAGACGGGTGCAACAGGACTCGACAACATGTTGACCACGTCACGACCCAGGAAAATGGACTCTCTTTGGGAGGGATGGTAGCTCATGATACGATCAAATATCTTTCTGCGCACCACCCTTCACTAGAAGGTGCTCGCACTCGAGGCATCGGTGAGACGTTCTCCTGAGAATGGTGTCCCTCCAGAGTCGGGCATCGTCGCGCATTGTGATCCTGTCTTAAGGAGATTAGGAGAATAGGAGGAATTCCCGGCCATCGAAGCGTGCCGTGTCATGTTTCGTGCCTCGACACGTCAGAAGAGGTTTGCCATTCTCGGCTTCGGATGCTCCGACGTACATTCCAGGCACGCAACCCGAAGACCTCCACGGCAACTTGGAAGCTGACGGCTGCCAAAAGCAGGTCGGATGAACAGTACTGGGTGGCTGAGGTGTGGTCGGCTCGGAGCTGCGGCGTTGTTGTTTGATGAGACGGGACCCCTGAAGCCGAAGCCGAACTAGACCCTGCATATGCACCGTAGGCCACCCAGTAAATACATAAATCAGCACTGTCTGCGCCTGCACCACCTTGTCCTTACCCCTCCAAACCCCGCCATCTTTGTGCTCCCGCGCCAGGCGTATTATCTGAGCTCCCAAATCTGATCCGAACTTCGTACGATTCCCAGCAACACACCGCAAACCACCCCGTACACCGAGTCCAATTGACCTCGTTCACCTCGAGCAGACACACGGAAGCCGTCGACTGATGCGCTGAGGACGAATTTCCAACTCCCACGCCCCTTCCTTCCCCTTCCCCCGCCTTACCAGCAACCATGGCCGACAACGGCGCCCCCATCCACGTCGGCTCGCGCAAGTCGGCGCTGGCCATGAAGCAAACCCACATCGTCGTCGACGGCCTCTCCGCGCTGCGCCCCGAGCAGAAGTTCGAGGTCCACGGCATGCAGACGCTCGGCGACAAGGATCAGATCACGGCGCTGTACAACTTTGGCGGCAAGGGCTTGTGGACCAACGAGCTCGAGGCCAAACTCATGGCGAAGGAGATCGACATCATCGTCCACTCGCTCAAGGACATGCCCACCACCCTGCCCGACGGCTGCGTCCTCGGCTGCGTCACCAAGCGCGAGGACCCGCGCGACGTCGTCGTCTTCAAGGCCGGCCTCGCCGAGAAGCACGGCTGGAAGTCCATCGCCGACCTCCCCGACGGCAGCGTCGTTGGCACCAGCAGCATCCGCCGCATCGCCCAGCTGAAGCGCCGCTACCCGGGCCTCAAGTTCGCCGACGTGCGCGGCAACATTGAGACCCGCCTGCGCAAGTGCGACGACCCCGAGGGCCCCTTCTCCGCCATCATCCTCGCGGCCGCGGGCCTGCTGCGCATGGACTACGGCGCGCGCATCTCGCAGTACCTCGAGTCGGAGAGCGGTGGCATCCTGCACGCCGTCGGACAGGGCGCCATCGGCGTCGAGGCGAGGTCGGACGACGAGCGGGTGCTGAAGCTGCTGAAGGAGTATGAGGACAAAACGACCATGCTGGCGTGCGTGGCAGAGCGCAGCGTGATGCGCACGCTCGAGGGAGGGTGCAGTGTGCCGATTGGCGTGGAGACGAGCTGGGTGGAGGCCGAGGGAGGGGCCAAGAAGCTGCGGGTGAAGGCGACGGTGGTGCACGTCGACGGCCAGCAGGGGGTGGACGCGGAGCGGACCGAGACGATTGAGACGGCTGAGGAGGCGGATGACTTTGGCAAGCTTGTGGCACAGGACCTGGTGGACAGAGGCGCACAAAAGATCCTTGACGAGATCAACGCGATGAAGCCGGATGCGCAGCCGACGAC